GACAGAGCTCTGAGCAACCTGGTCTGTGAAAGGTGCCCCTGCTCATGGCAGGAGTGCTGTAACTAGGTAATTCTCACAGCCCTTTCTAACCCAAACTATTCTAGGATTTTGTAATGATTCTGCACAGACTCCCACATTTTTCTCTTTTCAGAATCTGAAATTGCAACTCCTGAAAATGTCTTCAAAGCATCCATTTTTATTTCTGCTCAGATAGTCAAATCAAGAGCCTGAGTTCCTGGTCTCTTTATAACTGGGCACATCCATCTTGTGCCTCATGCTCATATTTTAGATACTGCATGCACAAGCATAATTCAGTTATTCAGAAAATTCCCACAAATTGCTTAACCTTAAATTACCATGTTACTCTACATTTATTACAGGGGACACATGCAACAGAAAGAATGAGTAATTTCACAGAGAAAAATCATTAAAGGCCAATCAGCTGCAATTTCAGTGCTGAAAGTGACTGAATTAGTATTCAGTGTGTCTTATTTCTTTTCCTTCTAAGCATCACTTATTTTGATAAAAAGAAATGCTTATCACATCTGCATCAATTCTGCCAACTTGAAGCATCTACTCAATACTTGGCCTGTGAGCTGTTTAAGTTAGGGTAGAATGAAATACTGAAATATCTCATATTTAATCCTGAGCAGAGGAAACCACCACAGGATTCATGACTGATGTTTTCACATAAAGCAGTAATCATGACATTACAACACAAGTATGGCAGACTCATGAACATGTTAATAAAGAATCCAAGCTTTGCTGTCACTAAAGTTGGAAGATTCTCCTCTCCAAAAGCCACTCCACCCTCCCCAGTACCTCATGGCAGTATGAATTCATACAGATGAAAATACAAATGTACACGCACACAAGTCCTGCAGATTCAGAATGTAACTAATACATTAAGAAATGTATTATTGGAATACACTAAAGTATATATATAAAGTGTATATCCATCACAGTATAATGAAAGTCATGTCCTAAAATGACTAATTTTTTAAAATTTGCTTTCCCGTAGTTTTTCTTGAGAATTTCTTGCAACTGACATTAGATTACAAAAATGCACTGGAATGGTGAATAAAGGATATTTTGCATAGAGCATTAGATTGGTAAAGACTGATAAATATTTTCCAGGTTTGCATCTGAAACTGTTAATTAGATCTATTTTAACCAATATCCAGCTACCACTTCATGACAAAGATCTTTGTGTAAAGAAAGTTTTTCAGAAGGACCTTAAACATTTTATAAAAGAAAACTATTACTCCAGCAAACACTTCTCCAAGAAAAAGGAACTACACCTTGAGTTTGAAATTATTGCAATAGTCTTGATGTAAAGGCCTGTTTGATCCTTGGCTCTTCTACATCAAAGACATCAAGTTATCTTTAGACCTTGCTGATTTTTATCCATAGCACAAACGAACATGTATTGCATAGGGAGAAGGGGAAACAAATCCCACCAGATTTCCAGAAATACGTTACAAATGGCACATAGGACTGATGGCACAAAGTTTTAAACCAAAATTTTTATTACATGGCTAATATGTGGTTAACTGCAGGCTTCAAGTTCATCTAATCTGCATAATGAGAATAGAAAACATAAATTGACACAAGGCAAGAAAATGAAAAAGCACAAAAAAATGAAATAAAAGCTTTAACCTTACTTGTTACTCTCATAGGATCTCTTGTTTCACTAATGAAGAGCCACTTTTTGACGAAGGACAGACATACAGACTAAATCCTTCCTATTTTCCTTCACTTTCCTGCAAAAAAACACCCATATTGAGGTAGGGGGAAAGGAAGGAAGGAAGGACAGATCTCTCTCTTGCATCTAGAAGGGTTTGTCCAGATCATTTGGATTTTGTCTTTAAAAAGACACAGGGTCAGAGGCACAGTGTTCACTTTAACACAAGAATACACCTGAATACTTATCAACCCTCTCCAGTAACTACCTCTGTAAATTTGTGTGTTGGCAGAAATGGAACATAAGCAAGGATGTCCAGGGGATTTCACAGAGATAAGCAAGGAACACAATAGCACATGTCTCGGCAACAGCCCTGGCCCTGCAGTGCCGACACCTGCTAGAACTTTGCCCTAGCTGAAATCCCCTTAACACAAGTTTTATTTTAAGGAATTTCCTATCTCTGTTTTTCTATTTTACTTTAGTAGCATAGGAAGATTACACATTTGAAATATATATAAATATTTTAAAATAATTTTAATTTTTTTTTTACTATTTATTTAAACTTGTAGAAGAAAACATGATGCATTCCAATCATGCAGTCAAGGAAAGTACTGAAAAAGAATACTAAAATCAAATAATGCAGTAACAGCCAAGTAAGCCTGTAATAGTAAAACATTCTTTCAGAAATTCTGTAAATAGATTGTGATTGGGACCTCTCAGGAAGAATTGTCTGAAAAAGTAAGATTTCAAGAAACAAAATCCTAGAAAAATTGAAGCATGGTTGTCAGAAAACCATTTCTTTTAAATATCCACATTTAGGATACACTGAACAAATGAGCCTTAAGAGTAATTCAACACAGAGTCTCCTGGTGACTTGAAGCCCTTTAATTATTATGGAATGGTTGGAAAGGGACCTTAAAGATCATGTAGTTCCAACTCTACCGTCATGGGCAGGGACACCTCGCATTAGACCAAGTTGCTCAAAGTCCCATCCCTTCAAGGGACAGGGCACCCACAACTTCTCTGGGCAACTTTGTCCAGTGCCTCACCACTCACACAGTAAAGAATTTCCTTCAGTATCTAATCTAAACCTACTCTCTTTCAATTTAAAGCCATTATCCCTTGTCCTACATGCCCTTGTCCAAAACCGCTCTCCTAACACTCCTGCAGGTCCCCTTTATGTAACAGGAGACTGCTCTAAGGTGTCCCAGAGACTTCTCTTTCCCAGGCTAAACAACCCCAACTCTCTCAGCCTGTTGTCCTAGACAAGGTTCTCCAGCCTTCTGATGATCTTTGTGTCCCTCCTCTGGACTTTTTCCAACCATGAATGTCTCTGTTATGTTTGGATCGTCAGAGCTGGATGCATGTCTCCAGGTGGGGGTCTCACCAGAGCAGAGCAGAGGGGCAGAATCACCTCTCTGGACATACAGGCCATGCTTCACACGATGCAGCCCAGGACATGTTTGAGTTTCTGGGCTGCAAGTGAACATTGCTGGGCCATGTCCATCCTCTCATCCACCAGCATCCCCATGTCCTTTTTTCCAGGGCTGCTCTCAATCCATTCTCTGCCCAGCCTACTTTTGTGCTTGGGATTGCCCTGCCTCAGGTGCTTAGCAGCTTGCTGTGCAACAGCACTCCAGGTTCCTCAAGGTAAAAAATAATTTAGATTATAAAATATCCTTGACTCTCATAGAAGCAAAATAGGAGAGACTACTTGATACATTGTTCCTGGAAACCACGATTATAAACAGATGAGTAACATGGAAAAGTGAGGAACCTTTCCCTGTGTTCAGTTATTTCCAGATGCAAGCAAGAACTCCCCTGAAAGAGACACACATTTGGAATGTGAATTCTAGCCACTGCATATTTTAATACCTCTGAAGAGGTCACCGTTTTACTTGATTTTATTTCCTCTCTTGCAGGAGACAGCAGAGCGTGTTTCTAGACATGTAACTCACAGCAAGAAGAATTTGACAAAGAACAGCTGAAATTCTCATCTATATTGAAGTTGCCTGCAGAGAGGTGCAGACCAGAGGTGACAAAAGCATATTGACTATGATTCCTTTACTCTTTCTTCTTTCCTCCATTTCCCAAATATCATGTTAATTCTGTGTCCCCAAAGATTAAACCTCAGGTTACTAAGTAACATTCATATACATCTACAAGCAATTTATACTGTAAAGTAATAAGCTACCTATTTTGTTTCTATAGGACCTCTGCAGAAATTCTACCACTTCGATGGGCATTATTGGACAACAAATAAAATTTAGATGCAAAACAGTCATGCAATGGTAATTCATTCACTGAACCTTTCCAAAAAGGATTTTCAAGATAGATGTAAGAGGACAGAATGAAAAGAGGTTTACAAATCCAGTCTGTTTTAACTTACCCAAATAAAAGTAAAGAAAAGCTTTTCAATATTGGATATACAATATAATTTTGCTGTGAGAAGAAGGAAAATCAGGTTCCTTGAAAAGCTTCTGCATTTGGACAGTTTTTGCAAGCCACAACTGCTTGCCTCCCTCTTGTTATTTAATCAGTTCACTGATACAAATCTGGAGAACTTACAGGAGTCAAAACAATCACAACTGAAGAAATACTTACTCTTCTCTCAATAGATTCTTACAGGGTTCTGAAATAACATTGGTAGGAAGATGCAAACTAAAAGGCTGCCTGTATTTGTCTGCACTTTAAACCACAGATGACAGCAGCTTTCCTGTCTGTACAAAACATATTAGGTATCCTTTGGTATGGATTTGTAAGCCAACTATGAAAAAAGCCCAGCCCAGGGATGGAGCTGTCACAACTGACTCTTTGGTTTAAATGTATTGACAATGCCAATTTAAAATAAGAAACAAAAATCTTCAGATACAACTATTCAACTCAATTAACCATATCAGTTTGTTAAACCAAAGCATGCTCATTGGCCTGAGTGCTCTTACATTGCAAATATACCACATTTTGACTTAGGCATCACAGACAGAACAGTTAAATGACAATGCAGCATTTACAGTGGCATCTGAGGCAGAAGCAGCACCTCCGAGTTCCCATCCCAGGTTACAATACCAGTGCTTTTTCTGTCAGCCATTTTCTCATTGTAAATGAGTCACTTGAAATGAAGAATGAAGTCAAGTGAAAATGGCACAACTGGTGACAAGACCTTAACTAACAGCACTTGATCTATAATTGCCAGCTATATATTGACCCTTACTTTGCTTCTGGAAAAAGCTACTAAAATGTATTCTAGAAATGTGAACAGACTTTACTGCAAGTATAAACAAGTCCCAAACCAATAATGTAAAATATGCACATAAAGTAAAATTGCTCCATTTTATTACCTGTATAAGAAACATAATACCCCATTCATTTCACTCACATTTCACTGAAAACTACTGAATGTCAAAATAGCAAATCATTTTTTTGGTCAACCGTATTTGAACTGGAGATTTTTTTTCTTTATGATACATTCTACTTGGCATATCATATACTTGTAACTCTTTATCTGACTACTTTTTTCATAGGTAAACAGTGGCATTTAGAAACAGTACTGAATTCTCAAAACTCAGAAGTAGCAAATGAAGTCACTTGGAAAAAGCAATGCATAAATCTATTCACCTATGCAATAGCAGCATCTGACAATTATTTTGACAAATATGTTAATGCAGAAGACATTTTCCCATAGCTCTGAAAAAGCTTACTTCCAAGGCAGCAAAGTCAAAAAATGCACTTTCTTACAGAAAAATTCTAATGAGGAAATTTGATTCCCCTGTAAAACATCCCCTTTTTGATTTTCAGCAAATTGTACTGAACTTGTCAGATCATCAACCTGTTCAATTCTGTAACAAATTGTTAACACAAACTACAGCAGAGCACACTGAATAATTAATTTCCAGAGTTCACCTTTATTAAAAACAAGGTTTTTGTTGTGAGGACAAATAATCTCTCACTCGTAGCTTGAAAGCCTAAGATAGGATCATTGGCTTCCAGGGTTGCTACCAGCTGCTTAGCAACCTGTCCTACTTGTCTTCCTTCCTTCCTGTTGTAGAGAACTGTGGCCAGAGGAGTTGGCTGGCGATAGATGAAAACTCTTCGCATGCACTCACAAAGAGCAGCATAGGAGTAATCTGGAGCACAAGCCATGAACTTCTTGTCTTGCTTTGATGCTTGGACATAACCTGTATAGCCCAAAAGCAAGCAGAAGGGATAAGTAATATATGGGTTTCAAAAGAACTTTAATAGTTAATACTATAATAGTTAGCTTAACTGACTGATAAAAATGCAAGCTTAACTTAAAAAATAATATGCAATTTGTAACAGAAAAACCCCTAAAACAAACAACAACCAACCAAAAAAACTCCAATATCAACAAAAAAAACCCCGAACTACCAAACCACTCCTATTACATAATCCAGTACTTTCTGAAGAGATGTATTAACCAATTTAATACCAATATACAAGTCTCATGTACCTCATCTTAACTGGTGTTTTGGATACATATGTACAGCAAGATACTCTTCCTACATCTGGCACCTTTCTGCCTCGCAAAGTCCTTCATTTTCTCAGCAGGCCACAGACATGGTCCATATGAGCAATCTTGGCCCAATATTAGCGGTCTAAGTAGAATAAATCTCTTCTCTCTCCTCATCTCCCACTGCGTAATTACATTTAAAAATTTGGATTTCTGAGTCTACCTAATCTTGAACAGACACACATGTCTTCTGTTCAGAACTGACTAAAAAAAAAAAGAAGTTACTTTTCAACACACTGTAATTTCTGTTAATATTCACTCAGAAGGAAGAAACCCCTCCCTTTTCCACTTTCATTACAGGACTGTAGTATCAAATTGACTCGTTTCAGACTGATCTCCTTTCACACTTTTGTAAAGAGAACTGAGATGCAATTTTGCAAAGTGATCTGCCATCTTTCTGCAAGGTTATTTGTTTTACTTCTGTTGAAAAATGCATGCCAATGGTTATCACACGGGTCAACAAGACAGGAAAAATCTAAAGGTCACTTATTAAAACTCCTTACCATACATTACACACACCTAGACACATAATCAGTTAACTGCAGCTATTGCCTGATGATGTCTGTGTGAGTGTTACAGTGGTGATTATGCTTTTCAGTCTCTAACTCAAGGTCACTTATCCAAGGAGCTCTCCTTTTTACTAAGCAGGTCTGTGCTTACATCCTATACATGGTCTGAAAAGGCTTGTCCTCCTCCCAGGGCATAAACATCTCATTTCTATGTTATCTTATTTCTAAAATTAAGCTACTGTCACTGTTGACTTTGTGTTAGAGATAGAAATGAGATGAGACACTTCTTTCTTTGTGCCCAAGAGCTGAATTTTTACTGTGCACAGCTCAGTTTTACATGGTATCAGAAGGCACCGTGTTTGCCTCCAACTGGTTAACAACCCACTGAAACTCACTTCACTGCTAGGGATATGGCCTGTGTGTGGTCAGTCAAACCTCCCCCTCTCTAGACAGGTTACATATTTCCTTCAGGGATTCTCGTGGGATGGACTTCTTGTTTTTATAGGTGCAAACTCTTCTTACAAAAATAGATTGCTAGGCAAACTAATTCTCATTCTTATGATTCTTTTCTTATGGGAACTTGACAGGCTAACAGCAAGGCCTAAACCATGTCTTACAAGGCCTCTCTTCTATAAGGTTTTACCGATATGCAACAAGCTACCATGATGCTTTCAACCGAATTATATCTTTCTATTCAGATTTAAGTAAGTGAAATATCAACATAAGCCAAACCAGCAGTATTCATATAGAAAAGTCTCAGAAGTGTGTGACACAGAAGTTAATTTCTTACCTAAAGCATTAAAAGTTGCAATGTGTTCCCACATATTCTCTGGTTGGTCAGAGTGAGGCTGCCAGAGAAGAGCATCAACATCATGCCTCAGGCAGAAGCATGGCATTTCTTTGGGATTCACAACAACAGAGAAAAGATACTGGTTGCTTCCAAGATTAATCTGAAAACAAAACAAATGCAACATATTGATTCAAAGCATAAATAGCAGATACTGTTATGCATACTGCCAAAGTTAGATGATCAACAGTTTTATGTTTGTTACTTGATGTTTGAAATCATTAAGCTGCATCCCACTGATCAACAGCTCAATACACCACAAGTGCCTTACATATTTCAAGGAGATACTATTAAGATTGTTGGAATAATATTCAGAGAAACATTATGTCCACTACACAAGCAAATGGGAATGTATTTTGCGCAGAAATAGTTTTCTAGGATAGATCCTAACCTGTAACTTCTCATGTTAGGAAAAAGATTCTCTCTAATTAATCACATCTGGTTTTCTGCAGGGCTAAGAGGGAAGGAAATAATGTCCCTCTCAGGTGAGATATTGCAAGCACTGAAACAAGGATTGGATAGAATACTAAAATTATGAAATGTTGACATTTTTTAATTTACTTGCAAACAAGTAATTATTAAATTTCAGATCAGCACACTCTTCAATAAAAATGTTTGTAGGATTTGTGGGTAAAAAGCTGTACCAGCCCCATTTCTGAAGGATAACGCCCCATAATTGCTAACAAGAAACCCCAAACAACTTGAAAGGAGATTTTCACTAAATTAAAGTGAAATATATTCCTGTATGCTGAAAAAACTCATATTTCTACATACTCTAACAAGGATCAAAACTGCAAGTTCCCATAGAAGGGGCTGAATTTAGTTTTTCCTACCCGCTATAACTGTCCTTTGACCATAACATTTTAAACACATTAACCTTTGACTTACTTTTATGCCACCCATTTTAAGAACTCTTCACAAGCACCCTGGAGTTCAAACTTGCTTTACTATGACTTGTTTCCTGCTAGAAAGCAGCCTTTTGTGTTGCAGATGCACAAAAGCATCCCTTTTGTGATGAGCTCATGTTCCTCCTGATCTGTGGACTCTGGGGTATTTCTTACCCTTCAGTGTGAGAAGAAGTAGTTTAGGCTGAGTTATTTAGAACTTTATCCAGTCTGGTGTTGAAAATCTCAAGGACAGAGCTTGCACAATTTCCTAGGCATCCCCAGTCATGCAACAACCAAAATGTAGTTTTTGCTTTCATCCAGTTAAAAAAAAAATAACCCAAAAAACACCATGACAATGAGTTAATCTGTAATGTTTTCATATGATTTTGTTGTTGCCAACTCTAGGCAACAGCCCAGATCAAATCCTAGCTTCCTGTTAGTCAGGGCTGCTTACAACCCAGATGAAGCCTGCTACTGAAGCATTTTGCCCCCCAGTCTACAATTTTTAGTGTGATTGACAAAGAAGTATTATAAAGTGATCTATGGTCCAGCTTCTTAGTAAAAAAGGTTAGGTTTCTACCAGGCTGTCTGAAAAATTACTGAGGAAAATGCAAACTAAGTAATCTAAAGAATTTTATGTCACTGAAAAAGACCCTTTCCTTACAATTACTTTGATATAACTTTGGTTTTTCAAATGGCTCACTTGTGAAAGTGTATGTATTTTTTAATGAGAACAAAAGGAGCTTTGTTTTTATATTAAAATCACATTGAAGGACACATATGACTTGACAATTTCTGTTGCTACTGTGATTTAATATTATGGGAGATCATATGTGATTTCAAGAGTCTACAAATTTTTGTATTCATAATAGAGGTCCATTTCCAAACAAAAAATACTTTAAAGTATTTCCATAATAGTTTGCAGTACTTACTATATGAGTGACTTTCAAGGTATCACCATCAAATCTGCTCAAGCTTGCACCATCTTCAAGAAAAGCATCACATTCTTCTAACTCTTGAGCATTACAAGGTGGGTTTTCCTTTTCGGGGTTTGGATTCTGAAAAAAAGAATGAACTACACTGAAAATTGAAACTACTGGGAAAAAAAAAAGAATCCTCTTTATAATAAAAAAACAACCCAAAGAATAATTGAATGTGAATAATTATTTGCATATCTATACATACTGGAAGATTAAGGTATAATGTACTTACTCAAAATTAATAGAATAATTTCTGCTCTGGAGGACTGCAGAAGTGGTAGGTACAATAAAATCAATTTCAGTTTGAAGAAAGGTGCATAAGCCACTAAAACATGGACAATAAATTCCCTTCTCTAAGTAGCAAAAGCACACAATCCTGAAACCATATGCACATTTAGGAAATGTACATCAGTGTAAGCTTGTTTCATCTTGCCATCAGTAATGCTATTGAAAAACAGATTAATTAATTTTATAAGCAGCTCTAAATATATGACACTTTTTAGTTTTGTTATTAATTTTAATTTATTAAAATCTATTTTAAATTAATGAAAACTTATGATTAAAAATCATCACTTTAAGCTCAGTATGAAGTACAAAATAAAAGAAATTTAAAGTTAAAAAAAAATCTATAGTAAAAAGATATACTACAATATCTTGCTCACAAATACTAAGGGAAAGAGGAGAGAAATCAGTCTGGAGTACTAAATAGAATTTATTTTAATAACAGTTTTCAGCCTTTTTAAAAACAAAGTAATAATCCAAACCTAGTATATCAAAAGCCACAGGGAGGCACACTTCACAAGTTTTAGATGAGATATCATTTTTTAATTAATCCAAGTATCAAGCAAATATCAGCTAAAAATTACATTTTAGTTTAAACAGACTTCCTGTATAACAAAAATGCCAGAAAGTTCATGAGTCATATTTATAGTTTCCTAAATTTTCCTTTAAACATGTCATTTACACTCTGTAGGTCAAGTACAGTAACCCTAGCAAGACAGTAAAGAAGTTTTGCTAACCTATTGATAAACAAGAAACAGACATCTTTCAAAATCATTTAATTAATTGCTTTAAAACAAACTGGCACATCCTAAATGGTGGGAACAAAGTTTATTTTCAGTGTTAAATCAGGCTTCTGTTTGGTGCACAGACACCATCACAGAGGTTAAATTGAGTTCTCCTTGAAGATGGTTTTACTGTTCAAAGTGCATTCACAACTCTAGTGCCATTAGTTTGTTACAGTTTCAATTAAAAATTAATAAATAGTAAAAGAATTGATGAGCTGGGTTAATGCAGTGCAAATAAGGGTAGCAAGAAAAGACAACATGCAAAAGCACAAGAATTTGAAGTGTTTGATTCTTGACTCTTTACCATTACTTCAGAGGTAAGATGCATCAGGCTTTCAGCTATTTCAGCGCATTGGGAGGGGTCCATAATTAATTCCCCTCTTGTGTCACCAACAATTAGCTCTGTCCACCGGCATCCCTCATTTTTCTTAATCAGAGAGATTTCCAAACTGCAATGCAAAGAGAAGACAAAGAGTAGCACGTGAAAACACAACATCCATTTGTCAGATTAGTCAAAAAGCTCTAAGTGTACATAAGAACACTTCTCTTCAAAATGAATTAATAAGGAAAATCACATAACAGAAACCATTAGCATTCAAATTATAAAATAAACTATTCTAGAGAAAAACAGACCAAGGATGTGATTTCTAGTACACAAACCTTAGGGTTTTCAATGTAAGTGTAGTTTATCCTGAAGCAGTCTCATTAAAATATTTAAAATATGGCAGGAAATCACTTGTAAAAAAATCTGCTCAAAGACTGTCAGAATTTTACTACAGAGGTTTATTTGTAACATAAGCAGTAGTTCTTAGGGCTACTTAAGTGCATCCTACCTCTACATAACATTTGGGACAAAAAGATTTGTATTTTATACACCTCAGAAATAATACATCAACTAATTATCTATATTGTCTATCTAAAATAATATCTTAGAAGAGATAAGATTTTCATAACAAGTAAAAAAAAAAACCCAACAACAACAAAGAGAACCCAGTATAATCACTAAACTATTGGGAATAACTAATTAAGTAAACGAAATAGAAGACACAGCCCAATGCACCAACATAGTAATTCTATTTAAATACTGTGTTGGACAAACACAAAGACATAATGGTAAAACTGAAGTCAGTTTTATCATACTCACTTTTTAGATACATTTACAGGTTCTGCAGCAATGAAAGCTGTAGTGTTCCTGACAGAAAACCCTCTAAGTTACTCATTACTGCACCCTAGCAGTAACTATTTAGTGAACTCTGAAGCAATGACACTGGCATTAGGAGCATCATACTTTTACAGAAGACATTTGGAGCAAGTTTTTGACTTTTAATCAATAGATTTATATCAGTGTTGCAGTATGAGTATTAAGAACTGAGTGCAACTTATTACAGTGAAATATGGAATTACCCTTTCTCATTAAAGTAAAAGCCTGATATTCATGACACTCACCAGAATGAGTAATAAAAAAATTAACTTATTCAGCTTATAAATAATCAAGACTCTCAGTTATTTTTCAGCAGAAGGTTTTATTAAAAACCAACAACCCCACACATTTTAATCACAGTCAAATTTTAATAGACAGTAATAGTATAATCTATATAAAAACATTAGTCCCTCTTTTTTTTTTTTTTTTTTTTTTTTTTTTTTTTTTTTTTTTTTTTAAGAACTACTGTCCTTTACAGTTAACCTTTTGGAAACTGCAAAAAGCCAAACTTATCACAACTTGAAGGGAAGCTTTTGTTTTAGATAAACAGCTATGAGCTGTTGAGTGGATCACCTGGTTGTGTTCATGTTTCTTCTTGAGTTCATTAAAGAGTGTGAATATCTCTGAGATAGCCAGACCATTGTGGGAAAGTGAATACATGGCTCAGCCCAGGCAGAGTATGAAAACTAGACAATGCACAAAGAAAAATCTGACTATATTTTAGGGAGCTCTGAAATCTTTTTTTGCACCCTCTCCATTCTTTCATATTTTTATTTCAGAATGAGAAAAGCACCTAAAAGTTACTTTTAAAATAAAAGCAGAAACATTTCTATTTGAGGTCTACACCAAGCTCACACAGATTCATTTTCTATAATGTACATAATATATAACTTTATAGGAAAATATATTAAGGAATTTATAAGTCAAGACTAAATAATTTTGGTTGTATTATTACTAAAATGTTGTCTGTGGAAAGTAGAAGAGAAACTAACACATACAACAAGGTACATTCAGACTAATCAATCCTGAAACATATGTTGAACCTACAAATCTATGTTTAACATTTTGATGCTAGGTGGGTTTTTTTCCTGGAAAATAACTGCAAAAGGAAGGGATTACTTTCACAATTAGATAAAGAAACAGTACTAAAACAGCAAAAACCAGTGAACTGCTTTCAGCAGAGGAGACATTCTTGCAAGAAGGGACATGGGGTGTAGCATTAAATGAGACCATCCCAGAAGGGCCAGAAGTCAGATATGGTGTATGTTTTAAAATCAGTTCCTATCAATAAAAAAACTAAAACATATATAGAATACCTTTTGTCCTCTCTAATTATCCATGTGCAGCTTTCGTGGTCCACAGATGAATGGAGCTTCCCTTCCATCAAAGGAGGCTGGTCTTTCAGTGTAACACATATATTATCAGGGGAAAAACGTATTTTTATGTCATCTCTGGTGATGTCTTGAGGCAGGTGAACTGTTATGGTCACATCATCTTCCGTCTGCTGCCAGAAGTAGAGAGGGTCTACAATTGGAAACATGCAGCAAAACACAAACTAAGTTACAAGGATTACTGGATTCCACAGCATTCAGTGCTGAGACACACGAAATGTTCTGAAAGTGTGTTTTTGAAAAAGTGGAAATTAACTTTTATTCTGAACAATTTACACAAAATATATTCTGAACTTAGAATGGAGAAACACCTTTTTAGTAATCAAGCCTGTTTTTGTCCCTCATTTGGAAAGTAATTTATATTCATGTCTATATTCAAATATGTTGATAGTTATACAATGGGCATTAATTATTACTGTTAAATTTACTGTAGTATTATGAAATTGGAATGCAAAATGTACTTAAATACAATGAAACATTAATGATTAATAATTTGGATGAGGAGACATCAGGTGCAGTATATGAGACACTTGCACGCATCCAGAGGAGGGCAACGAGGCTGGTGAGGAGCTTGGAACACAAACCCTGTGAGGAACGGCTGAGGGAGCTGGGGGTGTTTAGCCTGGAGAAAAGGAGACTCAGGGGTGACCTTATCATTCCACAATCCTGAAAGGTGGACGTAGTCAGGTGGGGGTTGGTCTCTTTCTCCAGGCAGAAGCTGACAGAATGAGAGGACACAGTCTTAATCTGTGCCAAGGGAAATATAGGTTGCACAGTAAGAAAAAGTTTATTATGGAAAGAGTGATAAAGTACTGGAATTGTCTGCCTGACGAGGTGGTGGAGTCACCATCCCTGGATGTGTTTAAATAGAGACTGGATGTGGCACTCAGGGCCATGGTTTAGTTGAGGTGTTAGGGCTGAGTTGGACTTGATCTTGAAGCTCTCTTCCAACCTAGGGATTCTGTGACAAGCCACTGCCTGCTAGAAGTACAAATCATTCAGAGATATGAACACTTTTTTTTATATAGCTATGCTGACTACTCAATAGAAATGATTTTATAAAACTAAGTAGTCTTAATCTGCCTCAGCTAATGGAGATGAATAGAACTGCTTGCCCAGAGGTAGTGGTTGACTTCTATTACTGTGTTTAGAAGCTGTCTGATTATTAAACTGCTAGAAGAAATGGCCTTTTAAGAGAAATGTTTATACAGAAGGAAGGCTATGAGTGGGTAATACACAGAAAATACAAATACAGATTAATATATTTTCAAAAGAGCAATCTTGTAAAAGTTACCTTTCTATTTTGAGAAAAAGTGAAGTATGGGTTCCCCTTGAAGTCCCTCAAGTTGTCACAACCCAACCCAAGATTCCATTGATCAAAGCCTCATACCAGCAGCTGTGACTCTGGAAGAAGTCTTGCACTGTTTCCTGTTGCCACAACTACCCTGGTTGCAATGGATCAGTCACAGGTGCTATAATTATACTTCCCCAGAAACTATCACTGAGACACGAGAGCCTTTAAAATTGTGAACACTGACACAAACTCTATCTGATATTAAAAGTCCATTTTACCTGCAATTTTATATAACCATGCAAATAAAACTAGAGTCTACATTAGGTTCAGCAAAAGGCAAGTGCATTATGGTGCTCAGTGCACTGAAGAACTTCTTCACCTCAAGATTTATATGTACAGACTATTCTTAATAAAATTGCAATATAACATAATATACAATAAAATATAATAAATATACAGCATAACATATTGTATATTTATCTACAATATATATGTGTGTATAAATATAATATATATGTATATAAAATAAATATATGTTAAATATATGTGTATATGTATGATATATATAATATACATATATGTATATATAATATATTAAAAATATAAAAATATATGTATATAATATATATATATAAATATGTATAAATATAATAAGCATACAATAAAATATAATAAAATATACAATATAACATTTGTCAGTATTTGACATTAACACATTCCAGAAATTTGATCCTTTTGAATTGTTTTCCAAATAGATTTTCACACTATTGACAAAGATTGTGCTACTATCCTTCAGTTAGAATTTGTTCACTAACCAATGCCTCATAGGCAGAAACAGAAACCAAATGTGAAACAACCCAACATAATTACATAAACATAGACATTATACAGCTTAGTGATACTTAGGAATAAACAACTATATTAATAGGTTTTTACATACTTAGTTTTGACTGCAAAGAAAAAGTAGGAATGCATTTCGTTGAAATTTTTCTGAACTGCTTTCCCACTGGAGAAAAGAGAATTTTTTAGAGGAATCTCATTCCTTAAAAATATTTTGCAAAATAATTATTTAAATTTTAAAAAGGCTGGAATAAATTACATATCAAAAAGCTTTCTGATGAGTAACAGTTTGGGGAGGTCCATGCCCCCCTCCCATCTAGGAAGACTGTCTTCTTAATTTGAGTACTTCAGAGAGACGCCTAAATTTAAGCATTAGCAATCCAACTAATACCAAAAACTTATTATACGTCTGTCTGCAAAATATCCCTTTCCTTAAGACAACAAAATTCTTTAAGGGTCTCCTATCCATAAAAAAGAACCTAATATAGGTTTATGCACAATACAACTTCCAACAGCAAAGGCAAACAAACAAACAAAAGTCAGTATATCCATAAGACAGATATTAAAACATTTATTGCTATAGTTTCCAAACAAATGCTAAACTAACCAGATTTGTCCTAAGTCAAAGAAGAGAGCAGCCTAAGTCTTACCTTTCTTTTCATTTGATACTTTTTCTTCATGATTTTCTTCTAATTCGTCACTTTCACTTTGCATAAATGTGAATGGTTTGTGGGAAACAATCATTAGACCATCCCCACTTGGCTCTATTGCTGCATAATGGGGGACTGATTTTCCTTGCAAAACTCTCCTTTTAATGATTTCGTATCTATGATCACCTATAAAATAAAATTTTAAAGTCATAATATATTTCTAGAAGACACATTATTATTTAAGGAACTCATTATATTTAAAAATATTATGCACTCCTACCTGTTAAATCACAGTACCATGGTTTTCTATATACTAGATTAATCTAAAACTGCCTTTTATTATTATGATGTCTTTGCTGATCACAGCTAGCTCAGCACACTCTCTGTACAAATAATATTTTCCTTGTAGAGAAGATCAGAAGAAAGCTAAGCATGTCACAATTTCTGAATGCCATAAGGCAGCATGGTGTCTCCTCATTTCAAGCTTTTACAGCAAGTAGTATTCCTAAAAGTTTGGTTAATAAAAGAAAAACAGCTTTGAAAGGGTATACCTTTGTTACAGTCCTCCGAAGTACCACAGAAGATATGAAAAGACTTAACCACTGCCCCCATTCTGACTTATTTTCATGCTTCCTTTTTTTGTTCTTTGGTAACACAATAGTGGTGTGATCCCTTTGTCCAGTCTGCCAAACAGGGCAGAGATCTCACAGTTGTTGGTGTCAAGAGACACAACCATGTTTTAAAGCTTTGCTTTGATGAAGCACAGATTTTGATAATTTAAGAAATGGCTTGTTGATTAACTACTTACTTTTATTAAAATCTGATTTGATAAATTGCATTCATAGACAGTTTCAAGGAAAGGCAAGCAACAGTAAATAACTACTGATGAAAGAGATTGTAGAGTATTTTAATTCCTCAAAACAGCTTTTATCTTTGAGACTGGTTCATACAGCAGTCTGATTTGTGACATATTCGTTTAAATGAAATAAAAAATTTATTTCTCTCTTCATAATTAAAGATTACTTTGAATTTTGTTATTTGCATCTCTAGTGACAATAATTTCAAACATTTTTTGTTCCCTGGAAATGCTGGAGAACTGGCAAGACCTTTTGAAAGATTTTAAAATCCACTTTAATGGATTCCAAGAATATTTGTCGTAAGTTATAAAACACACAATGTAAAAAAGATTTTTTTATGAAAGAGTACAGTATTAAAAATATAATAAATGTCTGTGTTGGTGCTCTCATGAGTAACAGTCTTCAGTTCTATACTGGCCATATTACTGATTTAGTTTTTCTTCTAAGTTATAAACAGTAATGTTCAGAGGTTTCTTTCTATTGCTGAGCTTGCCACAAAAGCATAAGGCAGTTGGTCTCATGTGGCCTTCTGAGAAATATTTCCATCATCCAAGGTTTCAACAGCAGGAAACAACTAAAGCCACTGAGGGCAACACAAATGGTGAAAGGTCTGGAAAGAATGTCCTGTCAAGACTAGGTGAGGACTTCAGGCTTGTCTAGGTTGGAGAAAATGAGGCTGAGGTGCAACCTACAGTCTTCCTAGGAAGAGGAAGTGGAGATGGAAATGCTGAGCTCTTCTTCCTGGTAGTCAGGAACAGGACATAGGGGAATGGTTCAAAGCTGCACCAGATGAGGTTCAGACTGGACATCAGGAAGCATTTATTTCCTGAGAGGGTGGTTGAACACTGGAACAGGCTTCCTTGAGAGATGGTCAAAGCCCCATCTGTCAGTGTTTAAGAGGCATCTGGACAATGCTCTTAACAACAGGCTTTAACTGGTCAGGCAGTTGGACCAGACGACAGTTGTAGGTCATTTCCAAATGAACTATTCTGTTCTATGCTATGTTATCCATAATATGTATGTTGGAGATGGAAGAACATTTGGCTAATAATATCACAGTATGCCTCAATGCTTTAGTTCAACTAGTTTAAAATCTTGTTTCTGTCAGTATCAAAATTTTATTTCTTGGAACATAATGAGCAAGACCATATCACAGTCATATCGAACATATAAAGTATCATTTGTAAAACTTTATTAGGATAAAATATTAATTAGTAAGTATTATTATATTAATATATTAATATGTTTTCAATGTGTTTGTCTAAAATTAATGGAATAACTTCATACTCTTATTGCAGGAAACCCTAAAATATGCAGTATTTACTTTTTATGCTATAGCTCTTACATTTATCTCATACTACTTCCAATCCCTTACATCATTAACTGGAAGCTAAAAAAAACCAACAAAAAAAAACTGAACACCCATATCCAGCTGTACAATATTTTAAAACATACAACAGACATTAGTTAGAAATAGTTCCATATAACCTCGATTTTACAAGACCGAGCTTGCATTTCATAACATTCAAGTAAAGTGCTATCTTGTTTTCTAATTGTCCTAATGACACAAGTGCAAAACTTTACTTCTTCTTGTTTTCCAAATTCTGTCAAAATTTAGGTCTATAACCAATAACTCAATCTCAAAATATAATAAAAAATTACCTATGTAAAATCTAACCTGTGGAAAAGAAATATCAGAACCTGTGGAAAAATAACTTCTAAAACAAAGAATAAAAACAACATTTTTATTTTTTTTAAACATTACTTACCAGTAATACAGATGCAAAACACTTACCCTCTTTTCCTTTTGCAATTGTAACCCATTCCAAAGTAACATGAAATCCACTTCCTTTTGTGTCTAGTTCATCTTTTTCTACCCTAAGCAGCAGCACAGCTACTGAATGTGCATCAGATTTTACAAATGAAACACTGTGTGCTACAATAAATGGACTTCCTAGTTCTTCATTAAACACAATCTAGAAGACAAAAACATAGTAAAAAGTCAGACAGTTAAAGCTGGAAGCCTTGCTCTTTTACAGAAAGCAGGGGAGGGTTTCAGGAATGTCAAATCAGTAACAGTTTGTCTCCCACAAATCTCTCTGCCAATATGAACCCACAAATGTCACACATTTCTGTTTCCTTCTTCTTTGGCTACCAAGCTACTGTACTGAAATATTTTTAAACGTTATTGTTTATATGGAACAATCATTGTAATAGCCCATTAAACAAAGCACAAAAATCGACAAACCTGTCTGCATTGTGGCCGTTTAGCACTGCAATTAACAGAGGTTCAGCAACTAACGAGAACAAGAGGGTCTATAAACACTGCCTATCAACTGGGCAAAGAGTCTCACACTCAAGATGAAAATGCAGGCATTTCCCAAGGTTCTAGTAGCTAGTTCTCTAGCTACTTCAACATTCTGAAAATCTTTGTAGACCTTGACATATGCAAAGAAGAAATAAAGGTCCAAAGCATCATTGCCAGTGTTCAATCATCAAACATGCCATTATTTAGCTTTGCAAAGAGATCCCATTTTCCTCCTCTATGAAGTAAGAAACAAAATGCAATAATGAAAGGAAGGAGAATAATATTCATGTTCAGGAGAAGCTAGGGCTAGAAGTTCTTGACTTTTTATTTATGTACATGGATTAGAAAAGTCTGTCCAATATTTGAGTTAGGTAGGCAGAATAAATAACTATTACTGTCATACTGAAAGGCTATTAGGCACTACTGTGAATATAAAATGTCATTAAACATGATCTTAAAGTTATACATTTCATTAATTAATAAAAATTATTTCACTAATTTAATACAGAAAGACTCCATCTTATAGCATGAAACATTTGGTACTTATAGCTGGAAGTTTTAAGTCTAAAAACCATGTATTTCACCTTTTTTCAAAAAGTACTCATTCAGCAAAAAACTAAAGAAGATAAAACCAAAATGAATCCAAACAACAAAGGAGGAAAATAAGAAAATAAGCATTATTTGCTAGAAGATTAACACATGAAAATGAAAGAACAAATGAAAGAATAAATTACAAAGAATTCAAGCTGCAGCAGTTGAATGAATATAGACTCAATCCAGCTGTTGTTATTGAAACCTGATAAAGTTTGAGGATTTATAGGGTTGTGACTAAACATTACTCTAAACAATTCTAAACCACTGCATGCTGTACATACTCAACAAGTCAATTTAAATGATGACAGAACCTCAGATACAAATCTTGTATTTTTGTTACACTGACAACTTCAATATAACTTATTTATGTGTCAGCATTCTCATACAGAATAAAAACTAGATGGTATTTATTACTAAGCATCTAGAAAAAGGATGATCAATTTCCTTTACTGAACTCTCAAAAGATGTAGAGAAAGGAGCTAATCCATCATGTTGAAATCTTCCACTTCAGTATATACACCTATGTTTCTGTCAATACTAAAACATCTGTGGTTTATTAGGAAACTACCCTCTAATAAAGAAAACAGATACAAAATGCAGGCACTTTTTACCAGCTTCACCTTCATAAACAGAGGAACTAATCACAGAACATGAGACTCACAACTTCAGGCAGAAATGCAGCAATTGTATTTGTTATGTCCAAGCAGGATAACAATAATCATTATTAATGCAGTTAAATAACTTTGATAGGGATATATATAGAGCTCCTAAATTTATTATTTATTGCAGGACATACCTCCCACTTTTCAGTTGCACTGCTTCCACGCTTGCCTGATTTAATTAAATACAGTCTTCCTGTACCATCAGAAAGGGTAACCCATGTGGAGGATGAGAAATGCATTGAGGCACAAAGGCGATTATCACATGCAGTCAAGTCTGTAGGTAGCCTGAAAACTTCTCTTGGTTTTTGTAGAGCAGTGTCCTATAAACAAATAGTAATGAACTAAGACTTTATGAAGTATTTATTAATTCAGTAAATATTAGAGGCAAATTACAAATAATAAATCTCAGTAGCAATGTACCAGTGTTGTGTATCATTGAGCATATTTGGAAAAAAGTGGGCAGCAAGCATAATTCCCACATATGTGGAAAAGGTGGTGGAAATTCATCAAAATGGCTTCTATGAGTGTTTTCTAATTGATATTTCAGTGCTCTTTTTCTTCAATTTTAAGCAGTAACTATATTTTGCATTAGAAAGGGCTTTTATTTCCCCCTAGCATTCCTATATAATAATCACTTACCTCAAATAATTCTAGTCCCAGGAAAAATGTGGAGACTTAAAAAGAAAGAAAGCCACAGAATTGTACTCAAACTAGTACATAAAACTCATCTGTAAATTTAAAAGAATTTTAACTTACTCTGTTGCACAACTGACAAATATAATTTCTCTGTTTTTCTAGAGTGGTCACTTTATTCAGTAAGTTAAAAGAAGTAATACCTATGATTAGCCAGCAAAGAAAAGCTGTGCTAATTTCTACGACATTTTCAGTAACTTTTCTATCAGATTATTATTATACTATGAAATCAAATCCAGTTGGTGGCCAGTCATAATGGTGCTCCCCAGGTCTTAGTATTGGGGTCAGTTCTGTCTAATATTTTTATCAATCATCTGCATGAGAGATTTGAGGGCATCCTCACTCAGTTTGCAAAAGACACCAAGCTGGTGTCTGGACAGGTGGGCCAAGGCCAACAGTATGAGGCTCAATATGGAAAAGTGCTGGGCCCTGCCCCTGGGTTACAACCCCAGGCAGCACCACAGGCTGGGGGTAGAGTGGCAGGAAAGCTGCTCAGTGGAAAAGGACAAGGAGCGCTGGCAGACCATAGCTGAACACAAGCCAGCGTGTGTCCGGGTGGCCAAGAAGGCCAATGGCATCCTGGATGTATCAGAAATAGTGTGGCCAGAAGGATTAGAGAAGTGACTGTCCCCCTGTACTGGGCACTGGTGAGGCTGCACCTCAGGTCCTGGGTTTAGGTTTGGACCCTGCACTATAAGAAACACACCGAGGGGTTAAAGCGTGTCCAGAGAAAGGCAATGGAGGTGAGAATGGATCTGGAGCACAACTCCTATGCGGAGTAGAGCAGCTGAGGGAGCTGGGGTTATTTTGCCTGGAGAAAAGAAGGCTCGGGGGGACCTTGTGGTTCTCTACAACTACCTGAAAGGAGGTTGTAGCCAGTTAAAGTTTGGTGTCTTCTCACTAATAACAAGTGACAAGACAAGAGGAAATGTCCTCAAGTTGCTCCAGGAGAGGCTTAGATGATATTAGGAAAGATTTCCTCACCAGAAGGAAAACAGGCTATAAAACAGGCTGCCCAGGCTGCCCTCACCAAAAGGAAAACAGGAAAACCTATACAACAGGCTGCCCAGGGTAGTTGGTGCAGTCACCATCAATGGATATATTTCAAAGACATGTGGATATGGCAGTTAGGGACACAGTTTAGTGACGGACTTAGCAGTGCTGGGTGACTGGTGGGACTTAATGATCCTAAAAGGATTTTTCAACCTAAACAATTCTATGATTCTACTACATGTCAGGATAAATTTATATGGCATTCTGTTGCAGTGCCACACTGCGAGCTTCTTTAAGCTGAACTACAGATAGCTTTTGAGCCTGAATAAACAGAGCCACTATGGTGAAAAAAATTGCACAGATGATATAATTCTTCAGTAGACAATCAAGACACACACATTTTTTAAAAACTATGCATACCACTACACTTTACCAGAAAAAAAAACCCAATTATTTCCTACTCTGTTAACTTTGTACAATCAGCTTCATTCAATAACAGTGCAAAATGGATGTTAGATTAACAATTTCATCTATATTTCTAGTAATTGTTCCCATAAGTCCTGCTTTAGTTCTGTGTTGTGTTCTTAATTTCCTGATAATTCTAACAGAAAAAAAAAACCTGCTTTCATGCTTAAAATTGGATTTCCAACTGTTTTCATTAAGTACAGTGGCATGTCTTCCAGCATATCCTTTAGGGATTATTCTTTATCTTCAGCCTTCACTCTCACATACAGCTCTTTCTTTGCTGAATAAGGTTTTGTGACTGACTTTCTGCTCATTATTTGGCTCATGGAATGACAGCCATGCTGCTGCCTGCTTAGGACTAAGATTTACCTCCATTTTTTTGTTGAAGTAATCTCCAAAAACCCAAGAGGCTTGTTAGGTTAAAAGAAAATGCTAACAAAATCTTTATGATTTGAAAATAATTTGGTGTCACAGTTTAAAAAACAATCAGGACATGCTTTATTAGCAATACAACTTGTTCAGCTACTTATGAAGTAGACCAGGCTGCAGCATTAAGAGCACAAACAAAATATTCTCACAGAAAAATATAAGATGCAAACTGGAGATTCAGCAACATCACAGTCACATCTCTATAATCTGTTAAATAACTGAAATAGAACTTAATAATTTGAAATTTTTCAACTGAACAAAGAACCTGTTAAATAAAATGGGCTGGCAGTCTGTCACAAGTGGGGTCCCCAGGGATTGATACCAGGCCCCACACACGGAACATCTTTATGAGGTACCTGGATGACAGGATTGGAAGCACCCTCACCCCATTTGCTGATGACACTCAACTAGGTGATGAGGTAGACGTGTACCCTCAAGGGAAACATGTGGCACAGAGAGGCAGAGAGCCTGGAAGAGTGAGGCAGCAAGAATACTGGGAAAATAAGCAAAGACCAGCATGGTCCGGCACCAGGAAAGGAACAACCAGAGAGCTCAGAACAGGCCAGGATCTGTGTGGCAGGAAGAAGCCCTGGTGAGGGCAAAAGGGATAACAAGCTGACCATGAGCCAGCAGGGCAATGCTGCAGCATCAAAGGTAAATTGGATCCTGGGCTGCATCTGCACAAGTATCACTGGCAGAAATAAGAGATGTGATCATCCACTCTACCCAGGAGTTGTCAGGTCCCACCTGGAGTAATGTTGTAAGAAGACATGGAGAGATTGGAAAACGTGCAAAGGACAGTCATGAACACCATCAATTCACTGGAGAATCTCCCCTGTGTGAGAAGATTGGAGGGGTTAGGTCTCATCTCCCTAGAGAAGATTCAGGGGAGACCCCACCACAGTGTTCCAGGGCAGCCACAAAGAGATCAGGGGCTCTCTCTTCACAAGAAGACACGAAGAGAAGACAAGGGACAACAGCTAAAAGTTGCATTAGGAGAGGTTTCATCTAGGCATAAGAGAAGTTATACAATGACATCAATCAATGACTGGAACAACCTCCCCAGGGACATGGCAGAAACTCCATCACTGCAAGTTTTCAAGACAGAACTGGACAGAGTGCTAGATAACCTCATCTAGGCTCCTTTCACCATGAAAGCTTGGACTATATAATCTTTTGAGATCCCTTCATCTGGGCTGTTCTAAGATTCTAAAATAAACAAAAAATAGAATTTAAAAAATCCAAACCTACACCATATTCACCACCTTGTCCCTCTTATAGATTCATAGACTGCAGAATCTGATCTGCAATCTTCAAAGAGGTCTTCCAGTAGTAACAAAGAAAAGCAATTCTTGTTCTTTTCTGTATCTTTGGGGGAACATTTCACAGAAGTTATGGTTGTTTCCCCTAATTTACAGAGTGTTTATGTATCATATATGAAACAAGATTAGATAAAATGGGTTTCATAGGTGCTTTACAAGCTAGTGTAACCAGAGATATTTGAATTTCTGAAAAAAAGAGGTGCCTCACTGACCTTTAGAGCTCATCCCTTTTAAAACCCAATCTACCTTCTTAATCCAACAACAGACAGACAATGTTGAAAACATAAAAAATGCTATAGAATCCATGAAACGATATTTTGTTTTATTTTACTAGGCTCATTTCCAGTCAGTTGAGCTACAATTATTTCTGAAGGTCCACAAATCAGAAACCTCTGTTTAACAAGAGGGAAAATTTTCCCTCATTACTAAAAAATCATCATTGCTGTCACTAAGATGAAAATATATTTACAAAGAAATGTATTTATAAAAATAGAAAAACAAAATTTGTTACAGGGACAGTTTTGAAGGTATTAACAAGTATGTAAAACGAAGCACAAACAGAAGCATACTTTTGTATTGACAACCTGGGTGGGAAACAAGTAATTCTTGATTCTCTAACAGAAAATGTTTCTTAATCTCAGGTCCATCCTTAACATAGTAAGGCATGAGACTAAGAAATTGAAATGAAATTAAAACATTCATGATTAAAACTGTGTCTCATTATAGACCTCAAATATTCAGCCACAAATCATTTAAACATCTTCTGTCCTTCTATTTTCACTCAAACAATCAGTAGTTTGGGAGGAATAATCTACTTCTAGCAAAAGAAACTTACTCATTCTGCCCTGTGAAATAAAGCAGACAAAAATATACATACAAAGGACCATCTCCAAAAGAGTCCTTTGCACTTGTGCACGTCAATGCAGTACAGAGAGAGCACAATGTGCAAGTAAAGCGTGCAGAGGCCTCATTTATTGAGAACCCTGCCTTCGAGGGCATTTAAAAACATTCCTATTTTCCAGACATTAGTAAAATCAGATGTGCATTTAACACATCCTGAAAGGTAAGCAGAATATATTGCATTTGGGTAAGTACCATTTTAATAAGCAACAGCAAAAAAAGACCAGATAACAAAGAGATAGTCTGCCCACCACCTGCCTTTTGGGCCTACTTAAATTTCTATTAGAGATTACTGTGTGCAACAAGATGATTATGAAACCTGCAATGGAAAATTTACAAATTTTTAATTATTAGAAGCATTTAGAGTCAGTTTCTGGAGTCAGTCGTATTACCTACACCCCTTGGACTATTCTGCTAATTTTTAACACATTCAGAAGGAGAGAACGACAGAATTAAAAGGAAAAAAACCAAAATAAACCAAACCTACAACCCAAACAAGTATCACACAATCACTAGATACAATGAATTTTGGCTTCCTCATATTTTATTTAATTTTCACATTTCACTGAAAGGCTTTTTTTTTCCTACAAAGTAGAAAATTTTCCATTGTAACTAGCAATGATTACTGAGCCAAGTGAAAAAGTCAAAATCCTGCGTATCTCATCATGGAAAGAGGAAGCATCATTCTTCTTAACAGTGACTTACAGGGGTATACTATATAATATTACAGAAGACCACACTTTTGTCAGCCTTCAAGTGCATTTTAACAGTAAGCTTCAATTAGTTTTGGATGCAATTAAAATAAAAAATTATCAACTACTTAATCTTCTAAAGCTCACATTAGAATTATCAGCACTTAGCAGGAATTTCAGAACTCAATCTCCTGAAAAAGTTATAAACAATCTTTACTACAAACCTTTCAAATTTTCTTTCAACAGGCAAGAAAGGAAATTATCTTCTTCACAACCTTTCTGTTCACTAATTTAACTTTAGGCATTTATTAGAACAGTCTCTAATCTCATTCTGACAATGAAAATAATGGACTTCCCTGAAGATGAGACAAAACCTCCACTCAATCCCCTTGTGTCAGATTAGCTTTTTGACTGACTGTTTCCTTGTTCACTAGGTGGTTAACTGCTGTAATAATAACTCCCTGCTTTAGAAGCATGAGGGGATGGTGAGAGTCTGTAGTCACGTATTATACCAGCAAGAACTGGCTAAAACAACTTGACACTGCTCGGGCATCGGTCAGCTCTGGTAAGCAACTATATTGTCCATCCCTTGTTTTTCCTTTTTTTTTTTTTGATATCTCTTTTTATTTCTCTCTCTTTTCACTATAACTATTATTTTTGTTGTTATTATTATTAAATATTGTTTTATATAAATTGTTAAACTGTTCTTACCTCAGTGTGTGGGTTTTACCTTTTCTGGTTCTCCTTGCCATCCTACTGGGGATGGAGGAGCAGCAGTGAGCAAGCAGCTGCATTGTAGTACTTAGTTGTCAGCTGGGGCTAAATGACAGTACTGTACAAACATGGGGTATTTTGTAAAAGATTTAAAATAAAAATTAATTTTTTCAGGGAAATAACTGGGAATTAGAAAGGAACAAAGGAATAAAAAAGAAAGGGAAAAAGAGAAGTTATAAGTCATGTGGCAATTCCCACAAAGCAGAAGTAACAAATACAAGACAAAGTTTTTATGAAAAACCAAAATACCTAGGCATTTGACACATCTCTTTAACTGAAAAAAATGTCCTTACCCAGCATTCTGAATAACAAAGAGACAAGTATTTAACACTCTGAAACACAACAATGAAAGATTTTGTTGTTCTCTATTTGCTTTCTTATTCTGACTTGTTTCAAACAAGATTTCCACATTGTGTCTGGTGCCACTAACAATTGTTCTGAACTGAAATTAATTGAAAATTACAGAAACAGTATTCCATAGCTAATTCTTATTGGAAATTAAAGAGATGAAAAGATTATACCATTAAGGATTTTGATTAAGTGTGAGATGAGTTCCTATTGCCACAATTTTTCAATTTGATTATCTGAGCATAAAAAGAAACCAAGTTGTCTTTGCAAGAAGAGCTTAAGGTCAAGAAACCAAGTCCAGCTGCTAAAGGAGAAAACTTTGAATGTTCTGCAGCTATATATAAATGCTGCAAACACCAAGCAATAAAAAAGTTGAGTAAGATGCATAAAAACATGACCAATTAAAAAAATCTCAAATCAGTAATCCTGTTACTACCCTGCCCACTGAGTGTTTAAAGCAAAGTATTGATTGCTGCTGGCATACCAAATGAAAAAAGTCCAACAGCTGTAACAGGAGAAGGTTAAACCTATTATACAGCATTTCCAGCCAAGTAAGGGTAATAATTTCCTCAATCTCGTATAAAAACCCACCTAAATACTACTCATCCATCAATACAGAAGAACTGCTTCTGTTGATCACTTTTCTTTTTTCAATTATGTGTGATTTTAAGTGCATGATGTTATGTGCACTTCTTTTCCTTCACAGATAATATCTGTTTAAACGTCTAAGTTGCAGGGATAATTCATGATATATGGATAGCCAACACACTGTCATATTAGAACCAAAGCTACAACCAAAATAAGAAATAAAACCAGAAATAATGATGTGTTAGAAAGCCTGTATGTTCTTTCACTCTGATTTTAGGATGAACACATTATCCTGTTCCATCTTCTGTTTTAAAGAAGACTGACATTAATTTTAATTGTAAGCTGTACTTGGCCAAAACCAATGCTATTTTTAATATACATTTGACTAATATATGGCTGGGCACATTTGTAATGAGACACCTTGTTGATGTTTCTCAATACACATTTCTTTTTATTCATATGCAAACATTTCCTGTGCAAAACAGCACAGTATCATGTATTAGGACACAAGATGGTGCCTATTTATTTCACAGTTTAATCAGTTTTATTTCCCCCTTCAGGTGGAACCAAAACTTGTGACCAGATATTAATCAAATGCCATTATCACGAAATAGGTCCTAGGGAAGAATATTTTTTTTAATCACTTTATAGGCTCTTGTAAAATCTTTTATCTGCTAAGAAATAAATTTAAACACATAGTGCCCTCCTAATGAAGGAATGTATTGGATGTCTGTGCTGTTCAGGCAGAGGAGACCTGCAGGGGTGGCCTCAGTGAGGAAGGGCCAGGGCTGCCCAGTGCACATACAGCCACTTCCACCTGGCTCCACTGGACTCTCCATTGCAGATAGTTGAGCTTGTCAGCTAAGCCAGTGGTGTGGAACAGAGGTTTGCCTGCAGCCCTTGGAGCAGACCATGGAAAAGCAGGCTGTCCTCCTAAAACCCACAGAGAACAGATATCCACACTATTACCCATGAAAAAGTACACAGTGGAGCAAGTACAAGTTTCTGAACAATGAAGCTTGTTCCTGGTACAAGCTTTGTGTGACCTTCTTTCTTGCCATCCTACACTAGTCCTAATTGGCAATAAATTAAATAATTTTCCCCAAGCTCAAGTCTGCTTTGCCCATAGTCGTAACTGGTAAGTGATCTCCCTGGTTTTATGCTCATTCACAAGCTTTTCTCTCCTTTTTTCTCATCATCTTGTTGAATAGGGAGAGTGAGAGAGTATTTGGGTGGACATCCAGCAGCAAGCCAGGGATAAAAGGATAAAACAAAAAATGAGATTATGACAAGCCACCAGTAAGAGAAGGCTTTCTTTTAGATGTTTCTACCAGGAATCCAGATCATCTCAAAAGTTTTGGAAGAAGTCCTAGAAGATTATTTTGTCACAGTAAGAGTCTGCCAAAGTCTCCAGCTGCTATATACTGTGAAAAGCAAAGGAATATTATGCAGCTTCAGTTCTCACCCTACCATCCTCTGGAAACCTTTATTTCCTGAAAATGTAAAACTACAGTTGCAGAATTTTTCTCAGTTTAGTCCTGACCTAGTAATTTCTGTCCCCAGAACCTTACACAGGCTAAGCCACATGCTCTCAAAAACCTACACATAGCCCTGTGTTTTCTTTTGTCTGACAGGGTTACAAGTCAAACTCTGACAGTCTGACGATGTGTCTTTTCCTTTCCACACAGTCTTTTGTTTCTTAATGCCCAAGCACTACAACTGTATGTGCCAGAAACATGGTGTCGACAGAACCATGTCCTCCCCTCTCTGAAATGAAGTACAGTTTTGTAAAGGAAACAAAAGTATCCATGCATTAAAATGGCTCAAAAGAAATATAGTTTGATTACTCAGGACCACCAGTATAAAAGCAGAAATTTCAGACTTCGCCTAACTTGCTTAGAGTATTTTAACTTCCCTCACAGCCACCAGCATCTTTTTACCTCCAACAAATGATGTCTAGATTAAGCATTTTCTAATTCTAACACATATACAATAACTGGGTTTTCAAGCTAGCAAACAAATATCAAGTAATGCCAGGGAGAAAGAGAAAAGCAACTAGAAAAAAAGCATCTTCCCTATCCTTCAGCTTGTTGTCATGTCCATCTTGCCCAGAATGGAAGCAGATGTAACACTATGTAGAAGCCTAAAAGAAAAGAGCTAAGGTGTATATGTCCAGCAGTGATAGCCATAGGTTGTGGACTCAATCAAGATTTGTTGGTAATAACACACTGTGAGAAAGAACAGGATGTGGCTGGAGACAGGGGCCACACAGAGGTAGGACAGCACTTTTCTGGGATTAATGTCCTTGTTCTGGCTCCGAGAGATAAGCACAGCACTGTACAGCACACATATAGGAACAATGTGGAGAAGTGGATGTGGACAGGGACTGCAGGAGGGAGGTAAGATCACCAGAGACCCCCGCTAAGCCCTCCAATCTGTTTCCAGAAGGGGCTGAAAGAACAAACTTTACATGATAACTAACCTGTATAGAAAGTGACTCGCCTATTTTCCAAGTAGAAAAAATGACCCATAAGCAGGTACCCCCCAACCAAGCCCAGGCAGCACCTCCTGGACCCTGAACATCCCATCAACCCACTGCTCTGTGTTTGTACTAAGAGGTCAGGGACTAACATTTCAATTTCCATACCAAATGTGTAACTCACTAAAAAACCTCTGTAAGCTTTGGTGAACCTTCTGACTTTCGTTATTCCTTTTGGCCACAAGCATCTTCAACTCCTTAGTGCTTTTGTCCCCTTAAGCAGTGGCCAGGGCTATTGCAACACACACTGTACTAACATTAATGCAATAGTATTAACATAAAGAAGTCAGAAACTTCACTTAAAATCCTTTTATCCTTCCTGGTGAAATACATTTTCTGTTGAAATATCTTCCACTTATCTTCCTGGCAATAGCTTCCCCCAATTTTTGCATTTTGATCCTACTTGCAATATTTTCTATCTCATCTACTCCCATCTTTTTCAATTCAATGGTTTAAAAACAGATTTTATTCTTACCAGAGTCACTGATAGGTTCATAACCCTTCCAAACTGATCAACATAGTAGACATTATCCTGGTACCAGGAATCAAGGTGAAGATAATTATACATGCCAAAAGCACGCATGTGGTCAAGGGTATATTGATCATCACGAAGCTGCACTTCTGCTACAGCTGGAGGGAAGAGAAAAAGACTATTTTAACAATTATTTATTTACAATTTAGTAATTTACAATTCAAGCTAATAATTTAAAAATAATTCTTCCATTATATATTAATCTTTCACCATAAACTTGGAAAGCAAGTCATCCACCCTGAAAGCCAATGCAGTCATTTGCTTTGATCATCTCTTTACCATTTATAGTGGCCTATTGTGGTGGGTTTGCCCTGGCTGGATGCCAGATGCCCACTAAAGCCACTCTATCACTTCCCTCCTTAGCTGGACAGGGGAGAGAAAACATGAAGCTCATGAGGAGGATGAGCACAAGGAGAGATCGCTCACGTATTACTGTCACAGGCAAATCAGACTCAATCTGGGGAAATTAGTTTAATTTACTGCCAATCAGGCTAGGGTAATGAGAAATAAAATCAGATCTTAAAACACATTCCCTTCCCAACCCTCCCTTCTTCCCAGGCTCAACTTCACTCCCACTGGTCACTCCCTCCTCCCCTCTCCAGTGCACAGGAGACAGGGAATGGAGGTTGAGGTCAGTTCATCACACCTCTCTGCTTCTCCTTCCTCTCGTTCTCTTCCCCTGCTCCAGCACGGAGTCTTTGCCACAGGAGACAACCCTTCACAAACGTCTCTAAGGTGAGTTCTTTCCACATGCTGCAGTTCTTCACAACCTGCTCTGGAGTGGCTCCCTTCCACAGGTCACAGTCCTTCTGGAAAGACTACACCAGCATGGGTGCCCAGTGGGGTCACAAGTCCTGCCACCAAACCTGCTGCAGTGTGGACTCCTCTCCCCATGAGGTCACAGGTCCTACCTGGAGCCTGCTCCAGCATGGGCTGTCCATGCCATCACAGCCTCAGTCAGACACATCCACCTGCTCCAGCCATGGGGTCCTTCACAGGCTGCAGGCGGATCTCTGCTCTGCTGAGGCCTGCAGGGGAACAACCTGTCTCACCATGGTCTTCACCACAGGCTGAGGGGACTCTCTGCTCTGGCACTGGGAGCACCGCCTTCCACTTCTTCCTCACTGACCGTGGTGCCTGCAGAGTGGTTTCTCTCACACAGCCTCACTCCTCTCTCTGGCTGCAGTTCTTGTGCAGCAGCTTTCTATACTTTTCTGAGATGTTGCCCCAGAGGTGCTACCACCATGGCTGATGGGCTCCGCCTTGGCCAGCATTGGGTCCATCTTGGAGCTGGCTGGGATTGGCTCTGTCAGACATGGAGGAAGCTTCTAGCAGCTTCTCCCAGAAGTCTTCCCTTGTAGCCCGCCTGTACCAAAACCTTGCCATGCAATCCCAATATCTCCACCCTGTCTCTCACCAGCATGTGTTGAGGTCCAATTTATCAATAACCCTCACAGGATGAAACACACCTCTCCACACATGCAACAACCACGTCAAACCTACTTTGTATTACAGTAAGGGAAAAAAGGTCTGCTCTATAGTTACTCTAGCAAAACAGCAGCCAAAAGAAATATTCCATATAACCACATGGATTTAATGGTCTTAAATTCTGAACTACTCTACTAACACTTGCAAGGCAAAAGATTAAAACTGTACAAAGCAGACTTAGTTCACAGTAATTACAAAAAAAACCCCAAAACCCAAAAGCACAAAACAAAGTAGCACTCTGAGGCCCAAATTTCTAGAAATGTCCAAGATGCCATTAAAATTTTAGACTAAATTTTTATAATTGAAAGAAGCTGCAAAGAATGCTGTTCACTAGAATACTACCTTCTTCAAGGCAAGAAGCATGCTACCTACAGTCATTTGCTTTAGCAAGATTTTTCTGAACAGGAAACATCCACCCAACTACCAGTAATCAGAACTGGATTATCTGCCAAAGACTAACCAGGATTTTATTTAGATTACATGCAGCTTTTTTCCTCCTATTCCATATCTATACAGAGATGAAGCAGCTGTAGTCCAAACATCTCAAAATACATTAGGAGAGGTCTAGTCCATCCTACTGTAAATAGTCTCAGATAGACCAGAACTCCATTTCATTCTCCAGTACAGTCAACCCAGGATTCTTAGTATTCCTGCAGAGAACTTATCTTGAACTTCACACAAGAAAAATCCTTTAGAAAGTTACACTAAACTCTGTCAGTCCATGATGATTAGTGCTCAAGCCCAGAGCATGGGGAAAGCACTTCAAGGCTAATCCTTCTCATAGCAGCAGTTCACAGTTATTGTAGCTCACAATATTTCAACTTCTACTTTTTTCCCTTTTCTGCTCAGAAGCTGAGCAAATCTATTTCCAGTATTTCACTTCCATCCCACCCCCTAACAGGGACCATTCCCAACTCTCTGCAGCAGCACTCGGACTTCTTACTCTTCTTTAGCATCTGCTTAAACCCTACTGCAGCACAAGTAGTTTACTGTGGCAGAACTCCAATTCCTGCAAAGAGCAGCTCATTTGGCAGTGCCCTCAGTGCCACTGCACAGCTATCACAAACTCAACAACCAGACCATCCCTATAGGGCTCTGAACAGGCCCCATTAGAGACTAATGGGCTAATGGCTATTAAGATAACAGTGGCTTTAGGAAACTATACAAGATTATACTGCCTGATTAATAAAAAAATCCAATCATACGATACAAAATGCTTGCAACATGCCAGCATAATTAGCAATTAGTCTCCTAATCACTGTTGATATTTGCAAAACATCAGTTTTAATTCCACCCAGATCAGATCAAATCATTATTCATATTCACCACACAGGAGGGATTTCCGTACCTCTGCAATTAATAAATTACTGTTCCACAAGCTATGGCCCGTCAAAACAAGCTAGAATATCAACAAAGGATTGAGAAGAAAATACACCTGCCTTAATAGCAGGGACTGCTATTCATTCCAATTCCTACTTTAATTAATTAGAATATTTTACTCTAAATTACACTGTTAAAAAAAAAGAATATATTGCAAAAATGCATTTTAAAGCTGTTTGTGTAACTGAGCTTTATCACAGAGATATTTTCCCCAACACAACAAGAAATGATATGAATGTTTTGTAAACAATTAAAGACCAAATCAAATATAATCTAGGATATTTATTTTCAGTGAAGCCAAGCACATATCATCTACTTCCTGTATAGCTGATCCTATGAAATTAGAATATACATGTAGAAACATGTAAAGATTTTTTAGCACAAAATTTGTCAAATGGTAAGGCTTCCTTTCTCCACTTCTCCCTCCCCATTCCCATAGTTATGTTACTCATGTCAGAACTGTAACTAAACAGTCTTAATACTACAAACTAGATGATTCCTGAAGTAAACGTACAAGTTTTCACAAAGATATTGGAACAATAACCTATTGATTAGCTGACTGTAACGTGATAAACTTTATAAAAATCCGGAAGAACATGAGCTCTCTGTCCTTGAGTTTTCAAGACTGTAGTTCTGATAAGCCCTAAATAATAAAGGGAGTCAGGAATAGGAGATCCAAATTCCTTGTATTATTGCAATATGTAATTAATTCCACATAAACAGAAGTCAGAAACTATATAAAACATAGACGATTTTAAACTAGGAAATCTGACAAATGTGTCTTGTCTTGTCACAAAACACTTCAAACGAGGTAGCAAACGGCTTTCAGAATGTATCATACACATGTGTAGCTCTGCCAAGATGAAGCAATAAAGAACCTATTCCATTCTCCATTAATTGAAACCCATACTGTGACCAAGTAAAATCTGTGCACAACTACGATTTGCTATCACATACCATGTACTTAACACAGTTTATAGAAAATTCTACACTAGAGTGAAATTCATTCCTTCCTTTCTACAGCCTTCAAGATTCAAGGTTTCTTGATGGTTCTTCAAAAGAAAGAGAAAACCAATAGAGCTGAGTGCAAAAAAGTAAAGGAGAGAAAAGAAATGGAGACTTTTAATAAAGTAAATTCAGAGTAAGGTAAGTTAATATTAAATTGAGAAGAAGAAATACTTCAGTCAGATCATGACCTTGTTCAATCTCACAGTTACACAGTTTTGTGAGTTTTAATATGGTTGCTCAGTCAGGATTTTTTTGTGATTTGTTGTTTGGTTTGGGTTTGTTTTAGTTTTGTATTAGGATTTTAATTTTTTTTTCTCCTAGGTTTTTGGGTGGTTTTTTTTTTGTTTGTTTGTTTATGTGATTTGTAAGAATCAGACTAATGCACCAGTCTCAATGGGTTCACTAGTCTGTTTGGGTTCAATTAAGAAGCAGCAGTCAATGGCAGCTATTTAACAGAACGATATGTGGTCTCTTTCAAATTTCTGATAAACACACCTGTACCATGAAAACCCAGGAACATTGATTCATACATTGCTATTCATACCAGAAAAGAAAGTAAGTATACTAAATCTCAGCTTTAAATGTTATTTCCCAGCAACCCTAGTTGCATGGGATATTTTGGACCAGTATAAAGAACACTATGCTACTTTTCTAGAAATGTATTTATCTCTACTAGTTCCATGCTTTAAAATAATAATTTGACTTAAAATAGTTTAAACATAATTAAAGAAAATATTTGCACTCACAATGCTTTACTTAAATGAAAAGCACTAAATACAAAGCAATTCATGAGAATCAACAGAAGAAGTAACATATCCCTAACCTAACTGTTACTATAAGATCCCTAGCTAGATATTATTATTAGTCTGGAATGCAAAAAAAAAATTCTTCCCTGAATAAAGAACACCTTCAAGGATCTTATATTTTAAATGAATAGAGAGGTCTTACATCTGCCACCAAACACTATGAAGCAGAACTGGGGTGAAAAAAGAGAAACGTGGAGAAAAAAAGTATGAAGAACAACCCCCAAACAGCCCCTCCATTTTTATATGTTTTCCTGAATACACCAAAGCAACTCCACAAAACTGTAAAATGTGCAAAGTAATTATACCACCATATTTTGTGACATCAAATATTATGTGCTTATATGTCATGCCTTATTTTGCAATGCCACCGAGTGGAAGCAATTTTGTACTGCAGACACACTGGTCTATCAGTGGAAGAGGTAATTTATTTTCTAGTATCAGCATTCAAAGATCCTTCTAACCCTTCATTAACACTTTTTCTTTTAGTTATAAAAACAACGCTTTTACTGTTAAAGGCAGCATCTCGTTGTTGTTGAGTAAATATGTGCCTGAGACCTAAACTTCTATGAATTACAGCTGCAAATGTGTCAAAAAGCTCACCATTTCTACTATTTCCCTTACATTACTTTAAACACCTTTTAAATATTTAGTTTTTCAAATGCAAATGAAAATCTCTGTAAATGTTTGAAACATACCAGTGCCTTTTGCTCCAGGAAAAGTCACAAATATGTTTTCCATGTACCACAACTAATGAGTAACTTTTCACTGAAGCAGGCCTTCTAAGCAGCATGCATTACAACTTATTTCAAAAAAAAGGGATAAAACTGATGAATGCACTTTGTGATCAAAGGAATGCATTCTCCCTATATGCTCCTGGCCTACATCAGCAGCTCCATCTCTGTGTAGCTGGAGCTATACTGAAAAGCATCCACTACTACATTAGAGGTACAGTGGTCCTGCCAAACAGACGAGATAGAGAAGAAGGGGATCAGGGATATCCACATCTGAATAAATTCCAAGCCTCTGGAAAGGAAAAGGAATTATGAGACATCTAACCAGTAAACAGCAAAGTCCTCGATCCTTTAAAAATGTTGTGCAACTTGGACATGTTCCTTGCTGGAGACAAGGATTTCCCTACAATCTCTGCTTTGGACTCTGCTGAGCTCAGATTAAAGCAGAAGAGATAACCATTTGTCCCTCCTAAACATCAGTGATCTAAAAAAAAGGCTTTACAAAACTCAATGCAAGGAAACATTTGAAAATAAGGTATGGAAATAAACTTTAAAAGGTAAGGAGAAAGACAAAATTTACAGTGAAGAGCTAGGAATTAAAAGCATAATACAGGACTCATTACTAGTTGAAATATATTACCAGGAGGAGAGATGAGAAAACAAGTGACAGTTTAGCATTAACTAGGTCAGAATGGGATGGAATAAGGAAGAAATAAAAAAAGAACATGCAAATCATAGTATTCAAATGAGAAGGGAAGGTATCTTACTTCCCCCAATCTTCTTCACTGAGACCATACATTTTAAGAAATTTACTACAGAATCACCTTCTCTTACAGATCTAATAAATAAATTGTTTCTTAAAATGTATTTCTTTGTCAGTTGCACATCTGACCACAGCAAATTCCTGACAACCATAGTCAACCAGTTGAAGGCATATTAGAACTGAACACTAAGGTTTTCATGCTAGTCAGAAAACAAAGCTCACTGTAGTCCTCAGGAACATGGCAAGCACCACATGCTGCTATACACCTGCTCCAGAGGCTGAAGACTGCATCAATTCCACAGGGCATTTTATTTGGTCATTTTATTTTATAGCTAGCAGTAAAATTCATGAAAGTAGATAAATATAAAAACACAGATAGAAATATTGAGAGAAGATCGATACTCTCAAGTCCACCATGCAAGTTTGTAATAACACTGCATAAACACTTCAACTACAGCTGAGTTAAAACTGACTACTAGTAAGAACAAGCACTTATTTCTTTTTATTGTTATGTATTCCAAGTACTCTAAAACTCACATATTCCTCTTCACTGCCACCAAATTTAGGATGACACACCGGCAGAACTACAAATCTCAGGTAATTTGAGAAAAACACTCAATCTTTTTCTGTAAAACAAAAAAAAACCAACCGCCTTTTTATATTAATCTTCTAGATTCTACTACATTATTTTTGCAAACAGTTGTTAATAAAATCAGAAATAATTGTACTGACAGTGTTCCTAAACATTTGACATTTTTTTTAGCTATTGCACTCAGTCCCACTTTGAGGAAATGAAATCAAATTCTTCACACAGTGGCAAATATTTATTTAATAATCCAAAAACTACCAAGCTCTTCATCGTGTTCTAGAGGCTTTGAATCTGCACACAAGTGTGCTGGAAAGCTGAAGTTCTTGGCCTTCCCACAGAATACTGCTTTCTTCTCCCACACAGTAATTTGAAAAAGCCACAGCCTACACATCCACTACCATCCACAGTCTCTACAACTCAACCCATTACTCCTGCACAACACAAAAATCAAATTTTGGAAGGATACCCTAAATCTAACATTTGCATAGACCACGGGCACTGGGAAATATAAAAGTCAGATACAGAACACCTCTGCACTGTGAGTAAACTGCCTTGAAGGACACAAAAGAAAACCAGCAAGGAGAAAGAGAGCTGTATGGCCAAAGAGCAGGCTGCAATCAAAACATCTGGAACATAGATATAAGGCCTGTTTAACACAGATATAATTTCCTGTTACTAATTCCAAAACACAAGAACAGCAATAAAAGCTTTCCACTCTTTAGAGGACCAGTATCTGTATCTATATGTATATATGCACACACAGAACAGAAGCATGAGTTAGTGACTCTGTAGTACAGTTCAGTAAGTTAGACAGAAATTAGTCAGGGTCTTTGTGCTGTGGGAAGTGGGAAAAGAACACAGTCACACATATCAATCCTCTATTACACGAGTTTCTGTAACCATTACGCAAAATATTTGTACAGACGAGAACCGAGTAGATCCATCTCTCCATTAGCAACTCCATTGTTCATGTATTTTAAAGAAGATCTGTAACCCTCACCTATTTAGAACAGGTGCAACTGACTATCAAAGAACCACAAAGGTTGCTTGACCATAGGCAGAACAGCAAATAAGAGACAAACAAGAGACAAACTTAGAGAGTGCACCAATGCTACACTGCTGCTGTCTGACACAAGTGCAGCACACTCACCTGCATTTAGGCTGTCTTTTGAAAGGTGACACTTATAGCAGTCATACAGCAAAAATGCTACTCTTGTTAAATTTTCCAGTCCTACCATAGATACACTCACAGCCTTGTTCACTTAACCTTCAATACAAAATTTATCTAAAAACTTCCTTCCTACTGCTGACAACTCAGCATGGCAACACATACCTTTCTGATCTACTACGAATACAATATGTTCTACACAAAACTAAAGTAGCATGTCATGGGTCACTCTGTAAACAGGTATATTATTCAGGAAATATATAGAGACAGAGGTTAGTCTACACAAATTGTGTCTCAGCTTTACAAAGAAAACCAAACTAATTTATCCACCTTACAAAAAGACCTGAATTTCTCAAATCAGTAAATGTAGAGTGCTGAGATATTTCAGGGCATGGCTAAGACTGTAGGCACATATCCAACAGGACTTTATGCTAATGTAGTCCTCAGTGAATTAGCCTGTTAATGGACCAGCATCTCAAATACTAATGATGCTTGGCAGAGAAAGCATGGCATGGAATGCATGGCATGAAGATCCACCTCTGAACTCCGGGCAGAGTAAGAAAGAAAAACAGCTAATTTGCTGAAGTTTGTACAAGACGTTAATTTCATACGGATTTCTCTAAAACGCATGTGCTCCGTCACGCTCCGCCGTGAACTACCTCAGCTGGTCATCTGGCCTCACCTCGCCTGTACATGTAAGAGCAGATTCAGGACACATTTCCGTACTCATTTAGGAGCTAAGCGCACCAGGAGCAGGCTAAGGCAGAGGTGTGACAAGTCAGACCCCTCGGCGCACCGCGGAGCCGCCTGGCGGGGAGGCCGCCGGACGGCCCCGGCCGACCGCAGCAATTACACCGGGGAGAGGCGGCACGGAGCGCTCGGGCTCCGAGAGCCCCGCCGCCGAGAGGCGCGGCACTCCGGCTGCTGCGGGCCGGGCTGGCCCCAGCTCGGGGCCTCCTGCACCTCGGGCCGCCGCCCGGCCGCGCAGCGCCGCCGGGGGCCGAAGGGAGCGCGGCGGGGTCCGTCCCCCCCGCGCTGCCCGAGGATGCCCGGCGGGATCAGCCCCGCGCCGCGCCCGCTCCTCACCCGCGTCCAGCCCCAGCTGGTAGCAGGCCAGCGGCTCCAGCGACAGCTTGTACCCCTCGAACTTGGGGTCCAGCAGCAGGCGCTTGGCCTGCAGCGAGCAGTGGGCGGCGCCCGCCATCCCGCGGCCCCGGGACAACTCCGGGCAGCGCCGGCAGCTCCGCGGGCCCCGGGGAACGCGCGGCAGCGCCCGCGGAGCACCACGGGAGGAGGGCGCGCGGGCGCCCGGCCGCCGGAGTGCATGCTGGGAGCCGTAGTCCGGGCAAGGAGGCAGCCGTGCGCCCGGGGCGCGCCGGGAGCTGTAGTCGCCGAGCCCGGACTGCATTTCCCGGCGGCACCCGCGCCCAGGAGCGGTGAGGTTGGCGGCGCGTGGCGCGTCCTGCCGGCGGCTCCGTCTGTGCTGCACGGACCGGCGGCGCTGCTGCGGGGGTGAGCCGGGAACGAACCGGGAACCAGGAGCCAGGAGCCAGCCGGGAACCGGGAGCGAACCGGGCCGGGCCTCCCCCGCGCCGCTCCTCACTCCGCGGCGCCGCTGGGCGGGCCGAGCGCCGGGGGCGCCGGGCGGGAGGGCCGGGCTGCGCAGAGGGTGGGCCGTGCCCGCGGCGGCCCGGTGAGCTGCCGGTGCCCGGGCAGCCGGGTGGGTGCTGTGCCGAGCTCACCCCTTAGCCGGGCACACGCCGGTGCTCCGGTCATTAGCCGTGGGGATGTGTCAGTGAACAGAACACTCATGTCATTCTGTTCTGGTCGCTTTTTTTTGGTTGAGTGAAGGACCCCGGCATTTGTCGAAACTCTGCTTTGCTCTGTGTAGGTTTGCGGAAAACCTAGATTTCCAAAATGAATAAAGATGCGCAGATGAGAGCAACCATTAACCAAAAGCTAATAGAAACAGGAGAGCGAGAACGGTGAGTTGACTTCCTACTCCATGCCGGTGAGAGGCTTTAAATACATCAAGACTGCACTACACCTAGAAGTACAGTAAACTCCATAAAGTAAACTTCTAAATTCTTTGAATGCTTTCACATGAAAGTCTTGAGTATTATAGAAACTATTTTAAAAATGCGTTTTGAACAGTTTTATTTTAGTTTTCCAGTTGAAAAGAGATAGTGGGAGAAAAAGGATGGGATAATCGGCTTATGAACTCTAAAGCTTTCTCTTACACAGGTATTTTGTGTTGGAATGCCCTAGATTCATGTAAAAATCATCATTCCATTCAATTTGCTGCAGTTAAATCTTGTTATTTCCTGACAAGGAGAAAGAAACAAAACTTTACTTTTTGCTGTTTCTAGCTTTTCTCTTGTAAAGTAATATATTGTAGAATATATAAAGCATCGCTTGTGCAAGTCATTGTAGAGACCCAATCAAGGCAAACAAGTAAATTGTATAATTTGTTTGGCATATTGTTGTCTCTTCAGTCTGTTTTTATTTACATATCACTAGAGTGTTTATGACATTTCCCTCCTCATTGCTTCATTGTGCTTGCAACACCATGCACCAAAAGCTCTGTTTCTGTCATTTTTAAAGGCCTGTATAAGAAGAAATTTTTTCCTGGGTCATGGCATAGCCTTGTGCCTGGTGTAACCTTTTGTAGCCTGATGTGGTGTCTCTGCTCTACATCTTTCCTGGTTGTGACCATTCCCTTGAAGATTGCACAAAACTAGAGAAAAGCAAGCAATTTCTTAAAATGGTATTGAGATCTATTTTATGCTAATTTAAGAATAGGAAGGGTTTTATCAGGACATCAAAAGTTGTCTTATAAACAGACTGTATCAGAGCTGTACCACGATCAGAGGCAGAGCACTTGGATTTCTTGAACTGAGAAATATCCAGAGACAGCCAATTTTACCTGTATTCTTACTCTGCTTTTTGTAATCAGTTCATCTGCCCTCTACACAATTCGCTGAGTAAAAGGGATTAGACCTACACTGTTCAGCCTCTTGCTACAATCCTTTCATTCATAAACACAGGGTTTTGCTAGAGTTATTTAGGATAGTACAAGATAAGTAGGCTTCCTAGCTAATGGAGAAAAGGGTAAAAGATATTAAATCATTTATCATATCTTACTTTAATTTTCCCTTCTGTTTTTTTAGTACTAATTTTCAATTTTTAGCTAACTTTCAATATTCAATTTTGATATATGGAGTAGATGCTTCATTGTGGCAGATTGTTGTGTCTTTTCCATTAATGCCTAAATCCTTGTTGCTTAAGCTTAGATAGCTAACCATGCTTAGGAAGATTAAGATATAGGATCCTTCATTTTCAACCAGAACAAGGTAATGTGTAACTGCTGAAATAAACCAGCAGTTCAGTAGTGCAGAACTCTTCCTGAAAGGTGAGGGAGAAGGTTTTACTTATTTTAAAGACCTGGTATCAGGGGAAATACTCCCAACTTTGAAAGTTTGCATACATCTGCTACCAGAGCAGACTCGGTCAGGTCAAGTAATTCAAGGGCTTCTACCTTTTTCTCCCTGGCTGCAGCATCAGCATTGCCTGAAGCAGTTCTGTGAGTTAGCTCCAGAGGCACCAAATCCTCATAGTCCAACATGGTAACCTGAAATTGGAACTCATTTGGGTTTGGATTCTCCTGCTGTTCAGCCATTTCTGCTGCTGCCCAGAGAGCTCTTGGGTAGTAACTGTAGGCCTGACTTTGAAACTGGAGCATATTTAAGCTCCAGAAATGTTTGCTGTTCTAACAAGTTTTGTATTGTTTTAACAGCCTTAAAGAGTTGCTGAGAGCCAAATTAATTGAATGTGGCTGGAAGGATCAGTTGAAGGCACATTGCAAAGGTAACAGTGGTAAATTTATTAATTTCCTTTGTAGTCAACTGAGATTTTGGCCAAATAAAAGTCCCAGATTAAGGCTTTACTGGCCATTTAAACAAGACGTGGGCAAGAAGAATGCATCCCTGGCAACTTGACATTTGTGTTTAAACATGCCACTGAATTGAAATTACTTTTCAGCTTTGATTTCTGTATTTTTCAGTAGTGTTCAAGGCACTATAAGTAAATAGCTGTTTCATACTGATGAGACATACTGATGTGTATTAATGATAGCCTTTATTTTGCTATAGATTTATTCCTCTCTCTCTCTCTGACATACTTTTTGACTTGGCAGAAATCTTGTTTAAACCAGTTGGAAGAATAGTAAGGATTTACTGTCTATGATCTTCCTAAGTGTTTTTCCAGTTGCATCTTTCTTACTGCTGTGTAAATAATGTGTTTTAAGAGATAAGTGAGCCAACTTGTGAACTGCTCCAACACTCCAGTAACAGGCACATCTGGTAATGCTCAGATGAGATAAAACAATTTAATGTTGTTTTTTTAAATATGAGCTGATCAAGATGATCAGCAGTGACAAGTTCCCATCCTTAAACCTATGGCATGAGTGAGAGACTAAAATCCACTGTTCAATGCAGTAGGTACTGAGCTAATAACCCATATTTAGGTCCCATGCTACTTTGTATTCTCCCATAACTATGTAGGTAGGTTTTGTTTAATCATCAGCCAGGTTTTGTCATTTTATGAATGGATTAAAGGACTCAAAGTATTGGTCTTGGTCTTCCCCAGATGTCATTAAAGAAAAAGGATTAGAGCATGTTACTGTTGATGATTTGGTGGCAGAAATCACTCCCAAAGGCAGAGGTAAGAAAATGCAAATATGGATGGAGTAGTACATCAATAAACATACCTACCTCTATTTCGTTACCATTTTGAAAGCAGCATCATGAGCTTAGCTGTGTTGGATTCAAGGAAAAATGTTAATAGCTTGATATTAATGACAAATAAAATGTTAATAGCTTAATATTAACTACCAATGAAACATGTGAATTTGTATTGTGAAGCAGCCTTTAGATTACTTTTGCAGATTATTTAGTCATGTCTATATTCATTTTTATAATTGACTTAATGGCCCTGAGTTGTGTATGCAACACAGATGTTTTAAAATTCCAAATCTTTTAAGATGGAAAATTAGAACTAACAATTCTAGTGTAATGGGAATGGGAAGAGTAAAGAACATAGCATACAGATACAAAAAAATGAAATCACTTAAGGAAACTGCAGTCCTCTTTATATTGTTCCTCTCAGGCTCTCTAGCAGGGTTCAATGTTAGTGGTAGAAACTTCATTAAGTTCTAAATAGAAATAAGCCTTCAAAGTAGCTTGCTGAAGACCTTTACTCAGAGACCAGATTTGAGGGGTTTTTTTGGTCTTAAATTTGTGAAGAAAAAAGAAGGGTCATCACACTTGTTCTGGTGATTATATTCTGTTTCCTGTTAAATAATCCTTTTTCTCAAACTTTCCAATTTTCTGGACTATGAATAGGCAAAAAAACTGACCAGTAACAACATTGTTCTCAAGAGATCCCAGTTTTAGCCTATTTTATATGGGAAAAATAGGGATGGGGTAAATGCAAATCAACTCGTTTCAGTTGCTTTAGGTATTAACAGGATTGCAAGAACTATAAAAGAATAGAAATGGCTGTTGTAAAAGTATGGTTTTAGCATACTTTTTATTTTGTCTTTTTTTACTTCTTGCTTTCTTATTTGTGTTTTCAGCTTTGGTACCAGATAGTGTAAAGAAGGAGCTCCTGCAAAGAATAAGAACCTTCCTTGCTCAGCATGCCAGTCTTTAACTTTGACATTCATCTGGAATACGGTTTCCTGCATTACATCAGTCATGTCAGGATTGGAATGCAGTTTACATACTTAAGGATGAAAAATCATTAATTTTTTTTTGGACTGCATCAATTTCTTAAAGTTGGTGTTACTTTAATAAAAAATTTTGTGGACTCATGGTTCTAAGGTGGTTCTCTCTCTCGGTGGACTGTAATGTGGTGTCACCTGTTCCAGTTTTTAATAATCTGTAATTTTATACAACTGTGGAACCTTGCAAAGATTTTCAGAAAAGAAGCACAGTGAACAAGTATGTTGACCAGAAATGCAGAAAAGTGTAAAAAAAAAGTGTGGAGAATGGGATATGTCATACTGCTGAGCATAGCCTTTCTGATTTTCCCAGAGTAAGCAGGAGAAAGTTAAGACTACATAAAACTGTTGGTGAAATGCTTTTTGTACTTCTTTTCTAGCAAATGAGTTGTTTGAAGTCTCTGACATGGTTTGCAAGTATTCACTCAGCAATTCATAAGAGGTTGAATTCTTTAAGAAAAAAGCAGTTGTATAATCCCTCAGCAATTCTTTTCACATTTACTTTGAGTCGCTATTCTAATTCTGAACAACTACTGTTTTCTAGCTTTGCCCATATTACTCGTATTCTTTTTTGTGTGGATCTTTGGGGACTTTTGAAACTGAAGTATAGTGTAATAATTTGCCACTGTAAGTCTAACATGATGCATTTTTAATTCTTGTATCTGGAACTGTAAGATCAGCCAGGTCTATACATAACTGCAAAAATAAATTTGATGAATAGAGAGGATCAAGAAAGAGGCTTTGAAGTGAAAATGTTTAATTTTTTCCCCATCTTTTAGAATTGTCTATAAAGTGGAGTAGAAGCACAAGCATGAGCAAAAACTGAATAAGCAGTCGGATATTGGTGTGACTCGGTGGCCATTGTGAAAAATTACTGACTCAACATAATATTCATACTCCTAATTAGAAGAATGCTGTAAAAGCTATCGCTCAGAAAGCCGTTCTGTGCCGGTGAGTCGCGCTGTTCCATCGCTGCTGCGCGCCGCGGCTGAGGCGCCGCTCGGGGGCCCTTCGCGGGACGGTGCCGGCCGCTCCGGTTCCCTCGGCCCCGGGCTGCGGGCGGAGCTGCGGCGCTCGGCACGGCGCAGGGACCGCTGCCCGCGCTGCTCGGTCCGCAGCAGCGGCAGTGCCGGCCTGAGAGGGCTCCGGCGCCGGCTCACACGGGGAAACGGGTCTGGGACAAATCTGGCAACAGCCAAAGGTGAAGTCTGGCAGTAGGTAGGAGTTGGTATAAACAGGGCAATACCAACATCAACGGGACAAGATGTAACTGGTCACGAACATCTTTTGTCTACAACGAGCAGGTTCCTGCTAAGACTGAAACAATGCTGGAGCCAAGATCGTGGGTCTGCTGCAGATACTCCTCCTGTGCTGTTTTAAATCTAGCTTCATATCAGTTTAAGTGCATTTCCTGTATGTCATTGTCCCCACATTGTTAAATAATGGTGGAGGTCGGAAAGAAGACAATTCTTTCACCTAAAGATCCATCTTGTTTTTTAAAATGTGGTTTTGCATTCAGTATGTATCATGGATTAACCCCTGCTGGCAACTCAGCCCCACACAGCTGCTCACTCACTCACCCCAACACCCAGTTGGATGAGGAAGAGAATCGGAAGTGTTAAAGTTAGAAAACTCATGGATTGAAATAAAGACAGTTTAATAGGTATGGTAAAAGCCATGCACACAAGCATAATGAAACAAGGAATTAATTTACCACTTCCCATTGGCAGGCAGATGCTCAGATACCTTCAAGAAAGCAGGCTCCATCCCATTTAGGTTACTATGGAAGACAAATATGACCACTCCAAATATTCCCCCTTTCCTTCCTCCAGCTTTATGTGCTCACCCCCAGCTGGGGTCAGCTGTCTTCGATGGGTTCCCTCCCCAGTCCCCTCACTGGTGGGGTAGGGTCAGAAGGAGAAAAGGCCTTGATGATGTGTAAGCACTGCTCAGCAATAATGAAAACAGCCCTATCTTAGCATATTTTGAGCACAAATTGAAAACAGCCTTGTAATAGCTACTATGAAGAATCTCAGCCAAACCAGCACAGTATGTTAATTCAATGTTTGTAACTTTATTTTTTGTATGTTCTATTTAAATTGCATATATGTAAAATTATTATGAGTTCTTCATTCCAGACTTAATGCTAGTACTTGGAGTACATTGTTTCTTCACAGAATCTAGCAGAATATATGCTACCTGAGCGTGTTTTACGTATGTCAGAGCTGTAAATTACCATCAGTAGTCATACCCATTTGTTCTTAGAGGTCTTTGCTAATGTTCTTCAGTATTTTGCACGTGACTTTAAAAGTCTTTGCTTAATGAATGGCTGCAGCATGTCATGGGCAGTCAACTTGCTCCAGTGCTACCAATTGATTTCCTTCACTGTGGTGGGAGAGGGCCAAATTTATGGTATTCATACCCTGAACTGTGGAAGACTTGTCTCATCTCTAAGTATCTGAAGTTCTACCTGGAACATGACAGCTGAAGTGTAGTTGCTGTAAGTGCAACATAGTCCTCTGCAGTCAGCTCATACTTGGCACAGAATAAAGACTGAACACTGTAAAAATTTTCAGAAAATTGTGCTGACCAATCTGAAGCTAAAGGCTTGATAACAAACTCTTTCACATGCTGCCAAAAATAAGCTGTAAAGTTCTGCCCAGACTGGTTTAAAATACAAGCGTGTTCAGATACAAGAAGGAAGAGGAGAGTGCATTCCAGAGATGCACCAGTGGCTCCTGTCTCAGGGTACCACTGGCTGCTCTTTGATGTAAGCAGCCCAAAGCCACTTGTTCCCCACCTAAGTTCTGTTAATCACACCCGTGCAGCCTCCATTAAGTAGCCAGGCAAAGAGCATGTTGGACAACATGTGCAGATCCAAATTAGACTGGATTGTCCTGATCAGAGGTATCTCGATGAATCTTCCAATAATGAAGTTCTATTTGTGGTGATATCAGCAATGAGAGATGGTTTCTTTGTGGCCTCCTATTTTTGTTTTAACTGCAGGTTTATTCTCAGATGCATAGGCTGGCTTTTGCAAACTCTTCTCTGCACAGGCTCAGTTTCTACTTGTTTGTTTGAGTATTGAAACCAGTAGCATTTAGGATTCAGTCAGAGCATTGTCCTGCTGAGGTTTTTTTCCCCCACTGAAAAGTACAATGATTTTTGTTTTTAAAGGTTCCATACTTCCAGCATATATAGGCAGATAGATGCATTAACTAATTTTTCTCCAAAATTTCCACATTTTCAATGTCAGGAAATGCACTTAAAGCCCCAGAACTAAACAGCCATGAAGTGAGAATTCAGGATGGATGTGAATTGCCTCAACTGTGGGAATATATTTATTTTGGCTGGCCCAGTGCATATACATTCCAGTAGCTGGTTCAGCTTCATCATTTTGTAGACAAGTCTGCAAAAAATAAAGCAGTTTGTAAACAGACATGGAAATAATGGGTTGGATAACAGCTAGAGTAAATTGATATAGCTCTGGATGTGCACTAATCCAAATTCTATGTGACAGCAAATTGAATATTTCTCCTGCTGTCAATGGAAGGCCAATGGAAAAAAATTTAGCTCAGCCTATCCCTTAGTCAGGCCCTGAGGGGTCTGAAATGCACAATGAGCTGAAATTTGTTTGATTCTAATTAGTTTGATTCTAATTTATTTGATAATTATTCTCCCATGAATACTTTTCTATATTGACATAGTCCAGTCAAAAAATGCTAAAAACCATTGACATCAATAATTTCTGCTGGGATGTCAAACTTTTATTCACCTCTTAGATAGAATGATTTTGCTATCATAGGTTTTTTTCCTTTTTTTGGGGGGGCGGTGTACTATTTATCTTCTTTACTCCCCATTCCTTCTTTTTTCTTGTTTACTGCCATAATATTTCAGTATGTCCCTTTATCACTTGGAGAACAAGTACATCTGAAGTCTGTTTAAATCCAGTAAGATTCCAGATTTTGCTATTACAAAATATTTGCTGCTTCTCATTCCTCTCTTGAGGGTCCTTTGAAGTGACAGCTCTGCACTATCTCATCCATGCTTTCATCTTACAGAATATGTTTAATTGTAGCAATTGTGGCACCTTGAGAGTTTGGCTTTAACTTAGTGATTGAGTTTTCACTGGAGCAATGAAAAATATCGAGTGTTTCTACCTGCTGGGTCTCTTTGGCTTTATTTAAATTTCTAAGTATTTGCAATTGAAATCTGAATTGTGTTCTACAACTGTTGTTTTTCTCAGCTATTCATTTTCAAAAAAAGAAACAGCTGTGGCTCCAGAGCCAAATGTGTAATGACTGGAGCTCAAAATGAGGAAAAACGAATTCCTTTCCTCATAAATAATTTATATTTCACCACCTTAGTGTAATAAATAGGTTAATTGATATTCTGCTTGGAATAACAAAAAGCCTAATCTCACTTTATATTTCATAGTTACCATGATGCTTTCCATCTGAACAGTATTATTCTCGAAAATGTTTTTTATGTTTAGTTTTTAACTAGTGATTTAATAACAGATCATAAAAAAATGTCCCTCTAAGGAGTCCCTGCTAATTTCTGTTTGCTGGAGTCACTAGAAAAGAGGCATCCATTCTGTCAATCACTGATCCTGAGGTAAGATGTAAAGTTGTTGTTGATCAGATCTGTGTTTGGCAGTCTGTGGGTGAACACTGACAAGGGCAGAGCAAGCTGGCCTCTTCTGCTGCCTGGCTCTCATCCACTGTCTGTGTACAAAGTCAGCAGTGTTGGGTTTTGCAGCCAGTGCTCAGGGCAAAAGCAACACAATCCCCTGGGGAGCAATGACACTGGGAATTGCAGGGGGAAATTCAGCATCTGCTTCCAAGGGTTCTTTGAATACATATGAGCACAGATGAGCACAACACTGATCCTAGCTTTGTATGCTGCATTGGTGAGTCTGATGCTCAACTTGCAATTTTGAAAGGAAGCAGGAAAAAATGAAGCATTGAAAGAGAAAATGGAATTGTCAAGGGGTAGCTCTGCTAGCTAAGCTTGAAAAATCTCCCAGTGTTATTCTATTGAAGAGAAAGCTGACACAAAATATGGTTGTGATGTGTCATAATCTTCTCAGGGAGAAAGAAGGAAACAAAGAAAACTTTAACAGAGAAAGGATTAAAGAATAGATGAAAATAGAAGTCAAATTCCAGATTTAAAAGAACAACTGCTTAATCATTAGAACAAACAGTGAAGAAGTATGGTGGATCCTTCATTTTTCAATGCTTTCCTGAGTACAACATGCCTTTAAGGAAGAACTGTTTTAGCTCAGAGTTAATCCAGCTTTCTGGAAATACAGTACTTACCTATTTATGCTCCCTGGAGCTGGCAGCAGTTGCTCAGTTTCTTCCAGAAGAGAAAGGAAAGCCAGAATAAACACTTACCACAAAGAGAAATTCTGCTTTGGCTGAACACAAGCATAAGCTGTTAGCTCTCAAACAAGGTGTAGCTGGGTGGAATGCATTGTCCTTGGAAGCTACAATGGAAGAGGAAATAAAAGTTAAGCATTACAAAATCTTTTTTTTGTAACCTGGATTGAAAAATGCTGTCTCTAGCTATCTGTTGACATTTTCAGGCACAATTCATTCTGAGGTAAGTTTCTGCCTAAACCCTGGATCAATTTGCTAATATTTGAGTTGTTCAACTTACACATCAAAATATCTGTTGATGCATATTTTGCAGGAGGAGTTTCATGAAATAGTCAATAGCCAGAAGAGGACTGTTCTTCCTTTGCTGAATAAAGACCAAAAAGAGTGTGATCTAAGCCCAGTTTCAGCCTACTGACTGCTGTAATGATAAATATAACTTAAAATGCTTACTCAGCATCAGGAAGTGAACAGGAAAAGTTGATAATCACAGAACCACAAAATAAGCTGAGTTGGAAGGGATCCACAAGAATCATCAAGTCACATTCCTAGCCCTGAAAAGGACCATCCCCAAGTATCACACCATATGTCTGAGAGCATGCTCCAAATTCTTCTTGAACTCTGCCAGTGGTGCTGTGACCACTTCCCTGAGGATCCTGTTCCAGCGCCCAACCACCCTCTGGGTAAAGAACCTTTTCCTGGTATCCAACCTAAACCTCTTCTGACACAGCTTCAGGCCATTCCCTCAGCTCCTGTCACTGGTCACCACAGAGAAGTGATCAGTGTCTGCCCATCCTCTTCTCCTCATATGAGGAAGTCATATAATGAATGAAAAAAGGTATTTATTTTACTTCCTCATATCCCTTCTTTGATTGCTCTCTCCTTAAGACTGTAGGTACATGATGTTACACAGTTATATTCAAAATGAGCTGATGGTTTTTTCCCCACATCAAAACTAGGATCTAGTTTCCCAGTCCGAATTTTACAGAGACAGAAATGTTTGTCTGAAGCTGGCATTGTTTTTAGACAAATTTTGGGAACTCAACACTTCCAACATCACTTGGTCTTGGCACACTGGTGTTCAGATAAGAATGCAAGTTGAAGTTTTTGGGCTATACCATAGGTCTTATTTGCTGAACTGATTTGTTTTAAAATGGGAAGAGCAAGGACTCATTATTAATATTTTTCTATCAAGTTCTTTTCCAGACTCCAGAGTATTCCTGCTTGAAATTAGACCATTTGATCTGGAAAAGGGCATGAATTAAAGGAACTTGAATTTTCTAAATTCGTAGAAATTCCTCTAACAAATGCTGAAATACAAAGAAACAAAGAACAGCTTCAAATATCAACCAATCAACAACCAAAAACAGCTCTTGGAAGAAAATACTTTGCTTTCCTAAATGTTTTTTCCAATAAAATTTCATGGTGTTTTGTTTCCATGCTATGCCCTGTCTCCTGTTTTCTTGCAAATAATACATTTGCAGGCATGCACACACAAACACATCCATGTAAATAAATATTTTTATAAAGCAACATGCTAGTGCTCAAGTATTTAGAGAGTTTGAATTCAAATGCTACCATGGTGCTTAGGATGCAGTTTCTGAAAACTTCAACTTAATGCATTTTTTTCCTTATAAGAACAAAAGGCAGGCTGTGTAAGTCAAGAAAGATTCCTTAATGGCTGCATATGACACGATGGAAGGAAGATTTTCTGTTTAGTAATGAAGTGATAAATTAGCTGTATAAAAAAAGAGGTCCCATTATCCTCGACTGAATTTTTAGTTGAGAAATACGAGTAATATTGCAGGGACAAAGAAAACTGGATTTTGGTACCACTCCTACCATCTATGCTGCATATTAACCCATCATATTAAATACAGAAACATCTTAGCAGAAGGAGCTCACGCTGTCAGCAGAGAGGAGAACCCAAGATAATCTCTTGAGGAAATTACTCAGCACTAGGCTAAAAAATCACACATTCCTTATCGCCTAAGTTCTTACAACACTGAAAAAAACAGTCTGTTTCAACCTGGGGTGGGTATTCCTCTAGGCTGACTGGGGATTCTGCCTTGTAAAAAGTCCTGTCAGCTGGCCAGGCTCCAGTGTGAAGATCAGTGCCTCCGAGAGAAATGCTTAAAGGAGAGAGAACCCTGAAACATTCTCAGTGGTACAATGAAACTGCCCAGCCCAGCCAAAGACCAGACCTACACAGTTGTTTGAGCTCAGGGAGACCGAGGCAGTCACTGCTACTCTTTGGTCTCTTTTGGCCATTGCTTCCAAAAAAGCTGCTTGGAATGTGCTCCATTTCAAAGTTATAAATATTATTTTTATACATTATATGCTTGCTAAAAGTCAGTTGGTTGAATTTTCTTATAAAGGCCTCTAACCAAGATCACTGGTCTGGAATTTTCCTCTACAAGGTATATCAAGTCTGAGTGGGAATAAGGGAAGGAATTTAAGACATGCCAGCAGAGGCAGAGGAGTACAGTTTCAGCCAGGAAGACCTTTAGAGAAGAAAAGGGGCTTTTGTGACTACTTGGCTACTTACTTGGGTCATATTTTCACACAGGCTAGGATACACATTTGTGTAAACTTTGGCAAATTATTTGGACAATACTTAGATATTACCCAAAATATGTGCTCAGGAATACTACAAAGGAATGGAAAATGTATTGAACAATGGAACTGCCTCTTCTCATCTGGATTCTCAAGACATTTTAATGATTAAATTTGTAGCAGGAGTGTATAAAACTACTTCTGAAATTTACAGTAAAAACCCGCAATTTTTACTGTGGTTAGAACTATGAAAACTGTACTTTGACCAAAATCAAACACTTATTGAAGGTTAAATTTATTCTGTAAATGTAAAACTTCAACTACTACAAAATGCATCAGGAGTTTAATTGAGGAAAAGTACTCTTTGTTAAAAAACTATTTGTAGCTTTAATAAACCACTTGAGAGAGCAAACAAACAAATTAAGCAAACATCCCATAGGAGGGAGAATACATATAGAAAAAGAGACTGTATCACTTTTAGAGATAGAATGAGTTCATTAAGTAGACATGAATATATCAGGATAATGGAACTGTCAAACTTTGAATGATGGAAATTGCCATAGGTGTAAAAGAAGTGACACTAGCACACTTGCAAATTGTCAAGTAATGTGATTTAACATGTTTAAGTCTTAATACCTGTAAAAGATAGGTCTCTAACAAAATTTATTAGTTTACTGTAGCAGTACTGCATTCAATATGGCAATGAAATACCCAAGACCATAGGAGCCCTCTTTAGGAAAATTAACTGAGCCAAACTCCAAGTTTAAAACTTTAGAGCTGGGGGTTAATGACATTTTTGAACAATGAAGTATTTATCTCTGTGAACATTGTTTTTAGAAATTAAGATATTTTTATATTATTACTATTTTTGAAACTGCATAATTATGGTTTTAGGGAAGACTTATTTTCCATTAGTGATCAGCCAATTTCCAGCCTTTTTTCATTAATGCACCAGCCATACACAGGTCTGTTGTGCATTTAGGTGGATAGTGTAGTGAGCCTTTCTGTCAGTTTTTATATTAAGTGTATATGTTTATATGCATATGTTACCTTCTCACTGTGGCATATTCCTTACTGAATATATTGATTGCAATGCCAAAATCTGAATGTGTTCTTAAAAGAAATGTAACTGGGTATCTTCACAACCTGACCTTACCCAGTGTGTCACACTTGTAGTTTTGCTTTTCTGTGTGAACGCAGATGAAGATTACGGTTTCTGCTTTAGACAGAAAGTTATACTGAAACCATTTGCTACACAAATGGTTTTGAAATTAAAATGAGCACTGCATATGGATTTCTCTCATTGAAGGTGGGTTCTGCAGGCATAAGGGTGTCAATCCCCACCTCAACGACATCATAGGAGTGCTGCCCGTAAGCTTGGCTACAACCATGCCCTCACTTGCTATGGACTCTACTGATCTTGGACCAGTGCAGACTCACTGGCTTGTCCTCAGATCTGCCTCATCACCAGAAACCTGCCTGGTAGTCTGGACTCTGAGCTGCCCTCAGATCACCCTGCTCGTGTCCTGGCTGGCAGGGTCCTTGCCCATGGTCAGCTGTATCATGTTTGGCTCCTTGTCCCTTTGGGGCCTGCTTCCTGATGAAGAGCTGTGGAGCATGGTGTCTGTTAGGACATGGGAAAAGAGAAATGAAGGAACTCTATCTGATACCAGTGCCTCCTCACAAGAGCCATCATCCTTCACCCATTTTCTCACTGCCCTGATACACACAGGGAACACAGCAGCTGAGTAAATCCAGTGGCAGAACACGAAGTCTTTATTGGAAAATATTTAAAGACCACACAAATAACTGAGTGCTACAGCTTGGAGTTGAGTTGAAAGGAGTGCTGTGTTAGTGCTGCTCTAGAACTAACCGGATTTCCATGCGAGAAAGAGACAAAACACCCCCTTTACCTCACCTATCGAGTGTAGCACACCTGCAGGTTTACACAGAGCTCTGGAATGCCTTAACATTAACCTTAAAATCTCTTAACCAGACATTAAAAGGGACATGCAGTTGGTGAACAAACCGGGACACTGGGGCAGCACCTGTCAGAAGCAACTTCAAACAATATTTGTTTTTCAGTCACATCCAAATTTACAGCTCAGCATCCTATCGGCCACAGAGGAACACCTTTACTGCCACGTGTGCAGTAACCCGACACGGTTCAAGTCCACCGCCTTTCCCTCGCAGCTCCCCGGAGGCCCAAAGAGCCAGCTCAGACGCCCCAGCCATTGTGGGGGCGGGAGGGGGAGGTCGCGGGCCGCGGGCGGGGAGCGCCGCGAGCAGCCCGGTCCGGCACGGCACGGCACGGCACGGCACGGCACGGCACGGCCCGGCACGGCACGGCCCGGCGCGGTGAGCCCGTGCCCCGGGCCTGTCCCGGGCCGAGCGGGGCGGGCGGAGCGGAGCGGAGCGCACGGGCGGCGGTGCGGCCGGAAGGGGCGGGCGTCTCCCGGGTGACGGGGCCGAGATGGCGGCGCGCGGGGCGGCAGCGGAGCGGCGCGGGCCCGGCTCTGGATGAGGGGCGGCCGGAGGTTGCGGCAGCGGCCGCCTCGGCCCCTGGAGCCCCGCGACTCCCGGCGCGGCCTCCCCCCCGGGGCAGGTGAGCGGGAAGGGTCGGTTCTGCGCCGCCGGGTGCCGCTTCCGCCTTGCTGGGAAGGGGCCCGGTCTCGGCGCCCTCCCTGCCGGGGCAGAGCCGCCCGCGCGGTTCTCCCGCGGCAGCGCCCCCGCCCCACCCGGGTCCCCCGGCCCCGCCGCGCTGTGCCCGCGCCCCGCGGCGGAGCCGCTCGGCCGGCCCGGCACCGCCAGGCCCGCGGCCTCCGCCCGGCCGGCCCGGGCCCCTTCCGGGGCGATGGGGGGAATCTGATGGGCTGGAAGGACATGGAGTGGCGAACAGGTGGACGGGCAGCTCTGGGGACTGAGTGGCTTCGCTCCTGTGGAAAGGGCGAGGGCACACGTCCTGTCAGAGCTCGCGGTGGGACGGCATGGCTTGGGGTTACCTACTGTTCGCGCTACGGGCACGTTTAATAAAACATACTGTGAAAATTTCTTCGCACGCTTTTAAATACTTAAAAATCTCTAACAACTCACAGAAAAAATAAGTGCTACTATTTGGCTTCCGTGAAGTGATGTCTCTAATAAAATTCGAGACTCGGCTGGTCAGTAAAATGGTAGGGTACTGCTTTTTGGTCATGAATTCACAGTGTAAGCGCCCGAGTTGCATATCTAATGAAAAATGGCGTAGCTTGGTGCTTTATAGCTCTTCGTAGCTTTATAGCTCTGTGGAAATGCACGTGTGCACTGCAGAGATGCCTTCAGGCCGTCTTATACTGTCATTGTTTGTAAATAGATGGTTCTAGTCAAGACAGGCATTGCAAGATGATTTTGTAGTAGTAACAAGGAATGTGTGTTAATTTGTTGTCTCTGGCATTCCGTGTAATCACAGAAAACTTCGCTATCTTAAACTCTGGTTCTATGTCTGAGAATTTCAGTTTTATGAAGTGAGTTACATGAACTAGTGCATTATGTAAAAGACTTGTTGCAAAGGTGGATGAAGTTGTAGTGTGGTCTCACACGATTGCATTACTTCAAGTTGTGTTCTGTATGCTTTTTTTCACTAGACAGTGGCATATATAGGTAAGGAATTGTCAAAGAGTAACTGATCACTCAGTGGACATAGACTTTCTGTCTTAACTAATACTGCCTTGAAGAGCAGAATTTTATACTAATTCAAAACAAAGCTTGAGGAGTTCACATTAGTGAGTTTGTAGCTAAATTCAGTTTCTTGGAGAGGAAGGGGTGAGATGTGGTGGTATTACTGCAGAGTATGACTCTGGGAGAAACATCTTTAAAAAAAGAGTTGAAACTCTGTATGTTGTATATCAGAGTATTTAGTGTCTGGAAATAACTCAGGAATTGCCAGCAGTCACCAATTTTTGCTGCCTTTATTTAGAGAGACAGACATTCTGCCTTGACTTTTGGTATCTTCTGCAGCTTTTGATAGTGTCTCTTTCTGGATTTGAGTGCCTCTGATGACTTCACTCTGTCTATGATTAATGTGAGTGAGCTGTCTTCTGTTCCAGCTACTTCAACTGCCTAATTAGGGTATTTGCACTGAAAGTTGGAAGATCAGTATTGAAACTACAATACCTTTACACACATCCCACAACACTACCTACAATTAGATAGAGGAGATACCTACTGATTTTCTCTTTTCATTCTGCTTCTCTCCCTAATGCCGTAATAGCATGGCTTTAGGGTTCAGTCATGGTGCCACTTAATGTATGTATTTATCAAGCTCAGAGATCAAGACAGGATTTTTTCCCTCTACACATGTGTTCCAAATATTATGTTTCTGTGTAAAGTGATGAAAAAACCAAGAGACCAAGCAAATCAAGCAGGAAGAGGGCAGTGGAACCTCTCAGTAGGTTACGGAGTCATGGTTGTCTTTGAAATGCAGGAAGTGCTGGTTTTGTCTTTCAGTACCAGATTGAAAGCCGTTCTTGAATCATTGCTTTCTCTTTTTAACATAGAAAGTGTCTTTGTATGTCGTGTAACATACATGGCTTGGAGGAGGATTTATGTGTTTGAAAACAGGCTTTTTATCTCTATCTACTAATCTTAATAAAATTCCATCTCCCTATAAACCTACTTACGATCTTTGATGTGGTCATTCTACTAGAACATCATACAAGATCCCCTTTTAAGAAATTCTGTCCTTATCACTGAAACTTTACTAGGGTATTGTCAGCTGTTCTAGTGACAGCCCAAAAGCACTACTGAACCAGTATGGATTTTTGGTGCTGACAAATGTGAAGGCCATGTTAGTCTTTAGTACTAGGAAATTAATTTCTTGTTTTGCTTTTGGAGGGTGGAACTTTTTTTGTGTCCTCTAATGTAAATTGGAGGGGAGCCTTTCAGTTTCAGACAAGTTATTTTAGGCACCATCATCTGGTTATTTATCTAGATGTGTTTAATATGGGCTGAAATCCCTGATTCCAAGGTGTGTTTGTGTTTACATTCCAGAGTTACAAGTGAGCTGATGTGAAAGAAAGCTGATGTGACAGTAAAAAATGAGTTCAGTAGCAGGAAACAAGTTTCTAAAATAATTTTAGTGCCCCAAAGTGACTTTATTTTAGAATTGACTCTATCTGTAGAAATCCTACTTAAGTGATATTTGTATGTATGGTTAGATATGAAAGAGGAAGTGTTTCTCCAGGTGCCAGTGTGCTTATTGTACAATGATAAACAGTTAGAGTCTTGCTTATTGCACCATAGCTGATTGACCAATCCACCTGAGGGTGGACTGTGCTGGCTACTGTCAGTGAAATCAGAGGTGCCAGGGATTCTAATGAAGCTGCTGTTCCAAGCTGTAAGCAAAGTAAAAATGTTCAATAAAATTCTGAAATTCACCTCCCTCCTGTTTCCTTTATGGGTCCCTAAAATGTTTACTTCCTCATTCTTCTGACTTGATTCTAAAGTGTTTAACATCTTGTGGCTGTTGTCTTTTAGTCCTTTCTGGGCACATGTTCCATGTGAACACCTCTTGTGACTTTTTACCAGTGGAAGGCAGTATGAGATGCAGAAGTCAAAAACTCCAGCTAAATTTGGTGCCTGTTACTGAATTGTTAAGTTGACCACAAATCATGTCTTGATTTATTTGCTTGTTTATATCTGTTGTAATGGAAGTTAATTTGACCCTAAGTCTCATTAATGTAACAAAGCAATTCCAGTAGTGGGAGAAGGAAATCTATCCCATTTTATAAATGAAAAGCTGAGGCTGAGGTCTGATATGCAGAAGGATGTATCAGGCTGGAAGACAACTCTTACCAGATTTTCTGAATTTTAGTCCAGTGTTTCACATTTAACTCTTACTGTTAAGAAATATTTTAGGATTCTTGATGTAGCGCTGCAACTTTACATTATGTCTCTGTCATCCTGTCTTATAATTGACTGCTGATATGGTTATGGTTCCTTTTGGGATTGTTTATCAAGGAAAGGCTTAAGAAAAGAAAGAACATTGTGGCCTGCCTTTTAGCCTGTTCAGTATTTTTTTCCCAGGAGAAAGAGAAGGTACATGGCTGTGCTTCTTTCCAATGTGTGAGAAAGATGGACAAGAAAAGGATGAAAAACTTGTTTCACGTCACAAGTTTAGTATAATGGTATCGTGTGAATTAAGTTTGCAGTGAACTGAGGAAAATTAGGGTTCTGTGTACATCTGTATTCATACAGCTACTTCCAACTATAAATTGTTTACCTTGAGAAATTTAATTAACATAAAAAAAACTCCCAAGCACAAAAGAACTCAACCCCAAAAGGCACCAAACAAAGCTCAAAACCTTTAGCAAATGTTTAACTTTTCAGGTAGTGCTGTTCTTAGAGCAGCAATGCACATGTTTCAAGTGCTGTTTCAGACAAAGCAGAAAATGCTTGACTTGTCCTTACCTTGAGACAATAATTGGTTCAAGATTGTGTTTTAAATGAATTTATAAAAAATAATATTCATTATATAAATACATATATACTGCTTCATGTCATAAATAGCAGTATAAAAAGCAGGTACATTGAGGAAAGTTCTTTTTAAAGGTAAATGATGGCTAACACTACTATGACTGGCTAATAGAATGTTGTTGACAAAACACTGGTTGTGCATTTGACATTTTATAGTGTAGGGAGCTTAACTGGGAAGACTGCAATCAATGCTGAGAAAAGAGGTGGGCAAAACAGTACTTTCTATCTTAAATCATAGAGTCACTAAGGTTGGAAGAGACCTCCAAGGTCATCAAGTCAGCCTTTAAGGGGCCTAGTTCTAGCTCAGCTGAAATGAAATGCAGCTCTATCACAAGTATGTTAACTGGCCATATGTCTCATTGTAACTCTGAAATCTTTGCCTGACACATGGAAAGTGGAGAGGTGTAAGTTATCTGGCTGTCATGGACATAATGATAGCTGTTGAGCTCTGCCAAATGGGCATACTGATGATACTGGAAGTGTAGTCACTCTTACATCGGAATGACCTGGGAAATTGATTTACTTTTGGTGATTAGTTCTTGTGGACTTCACAAGTCCACTGACTCTGCAAGCCAGAGTTCTTGTGGATTATGTTTTTTTTCAGTTGTTTAACTTTCTATTGAGAACTCAGTACAGTATACTGAGAAAATGGGGATGAGTTGAAAATTGGGCTCATTAATACTTACATATATAAATACATATATTGGTGATTGACACACTTGAACATTGTTCTGGTTTTAGTTTTGCACTAGTAACCTTCCTAGTTCCTTGACTTTAAGCATAATTAATGTAGAGTCTGCAAAGATTTTTGGTGGCTTCCTAAAACAACCT